CAAGTTTCTTTTTTTGAAGAGTATAATTTTAAAAGATTTTGAGAACACGAAACTACTTTTTAAGAGGTGGTGAACCGTTGTGTGTTAGGTAGGGAGAATTTACGTTTCAAGGTTTCTGGTAGACAACTACAAGTATAAAATAAATATGATATTCCATGTGTCGAGTGGCGGGGGAAAAGGAGATATTAAATATACCCGTAAGGCTGTAAGGAATGGCACCAACGCAAGCGTCTTCTGTTGCAAAACAGGGACGATCATTGGTCTTAAGGGTCGAAATCCAGCCTCGCGAAGATGGTTCCTGACAGTCTGGTCCGATATCCTCCTCAAACCAGGGATGCGTCCTTTAGTCTCCGTAGCTGTGGCATTGCGCTGACGTAGGAGAAACAGTCGAATGTAGCGATCCTGTGCAGGGGTGGTAGCTCTTGGTCGGCCGGTTCTCGGACGGTCTGCAGCGGAATTGAATTGTGTGTATCGGTCACAAAGGCGGCAAATGGTGCTGTGGTGGACATTGAAGTGGCGTGCAACAGAAGACTGTGATATCCTCTTTGGAGACGTCCTATGGCGATGTTCCGATCGGCAGCGCTGAGACTCGGCATTTTCGAACATGACAAATAATTGGCTTATGCTTGCCTTTGTCTAGCCACTACCACGAGTTACGAATGCCATGACTTGCACGTGCATTTGTCTTTACTGTTTTCCTCCATGACATTTTTGAACAAGTGTGAAACAATGCCGTTTAAGACATTGCAAATCGACAATGGCTGCGTTTTGACGCACCGTTTGTCGAATATCAGGCCACCAACATTTTCCAATAACATATATCCAATTTATATACCGGATTTTTTGTGCAGTCAGGTTCAGTGAGCTGCATACTACCTGTGCGTTTCCTTTTTGAAGAGTACACACACACACACACACACACACACACACACACACACGGGGTAGAAAAGGTCTTCAGCAACCCATACTTGCCGCAAAAGGTGACTATGCTTGTCGTAAGAGGCGACTAACGGGATCGGGTGGTCAGGCTCGCTGACTTGGTTGATACATGTCATCGATCCCAATTGCGTGGATCGATGCTCATGATATCAATCACCTGATTATCTGGTCCAGACTCGATTATTTACAGACCGCCGTCATATAGCTGGAATATTACGGCGTTAAACAACAAACCAACCAACCAGCTTTATGTCGAGCAATAGTCAAGCAGATCCAGCGTTTGGTGTCCACATTTCACGTTTAACGTACAATCGAGCATGCCCTTTCTACTAAGGTTTCAAAGAGCGTCATATGACTCTTGCTCAAACTTTGTTTGATCAGGCGTACAACATTCAAGCTTTCAAAACGTTTAATGGTGGACATTTCCAAATTGACTTTTCGTGTCCCCGTTCTTCGTGGGAACAATTGACTTGCATTTGGAAGTGCTTGTGTCGGGTGGCACCGACGAGGTAAGATACGCTCACTTTTTCGGGAAGACCTGGTATCATCACTATTTGATAGTAATTCATAAACACTAGTTCATGATAGAAGAATCGTACAATCGATTTCTTATGATTATGGAAAGGATTTTGTCGCTTTTGTAGACGACTTGGTCACCCATGTACCGGAAAATACGATGAGACACCGCCTGTAGAGCCTACGCACTTGTTAGGTAGTTTATACAACGGAGAGACTTGGATTCGAAACGACAATCAGAGGCTCCGGGTCCATTTAGTCGCCTCTTACAACAAGCATTGGTTACAAGGGATCTGTTCTATCCAGGAATCCCAACGGGGAGATTCATACAGTTTGTTTGTTGTTTTACGCCGCACTCAGCAGTATTGCAGATAAATGGCGGTGGTCTGTAATAATCGAGTCTGAACCAGACAGGCAAGTGGCTGATAGCATGAGCATCGATCCCAGAACTGGGATACGACGACATGATTTAACCAAGTCAGCGAGCCTGATCACCCGATCCCGTTAGAAGACCTATTCTAACCCGGGTGTTCACGGGTCGATTCGTACACTGAAGCATCTTGGTGGGAAATTGAGCCCTGTAAACGTTTCGTTTCGAGACTGGAACCAACAGGCAGATTAAGAAGAGAAGAAACCCTGTCCATGCCTTTCTATTTCTGATAATATGCAACTTTTGAGAGGTTATAATTTTCATTGTTTTTATTAACCAACATCATAAACACTGACAAATGTAAACATATTTCGTCCCCGCCTGGCAAGTGTATGTGCAATTCATTTTCAATGTTACACTGATGTATATCATGTTGACCTCGATGAATATTTATTATCTAAAAGATTTTCATTACATTCAAACAAAACCTTCTAACTCTAAGTGATGGGTTCCATTTCCAACGCATTTTTAAAACCATATTTCACGCCAACTTTTCACAATTGTGTAAATGAAAAGAGTTTGGTTTCAAATCTGAAGGCCATTTATACTTTTTATTGCAATGCGAGCAGTTTCCAAAGTCTTTCAAGAACATAGCAGATTGATGATGGACAAAAACCTTACTATGTCAAGGAATACATGCTGTTGGCGAATATGATCACCAGGCTTGTCCTACTTTTTGGGTGTTATGTATATATAATTGTAGCATAATTGCTAGAGTAAGTCAAGGATGAATAAGAACATCCTCAAGTCCATGAATGTTGTCGTACTCTTCACACAGTAATATTCCAGCTATATGTTAGTGTGGCCTGAAAGTAATAGTATGGGGAAGGCAAATCTGTGGTCGACAGCATCAACATCTTGTTTGTTTGTTTGTTTGTTGTTTACCGCCGCGCTCAGCAATAGTCCAGCTATATGACGTAAAATATAGCGACAAAACCCTTTCCACATCCAATAGAAATCTCTGCATAAAGCAGAGTCGGCATTAGTCCGGACCAGTACAAGCAGCCGCACCCACCATGTTAGACTTACATCAAGTCTCTGAAATGAACATATTTTACAGAAAAAACAGTTGTGAAATTATAGTTATAAAATATAGCAAGAGGCCCATAAGGCCTGTATCACTCACCAGGATATTTACGCAATCATGGCAAAATAAATATTTGCATTGTACATGTATATAATACTGCAAATATTTCGTAATTTTGACTGTCAGCATTTAAAATGGGTGGATGGCAAATCTGACAGCATGACCATGTATTTCTCAAGATAAAAATGTAGTATAAAGATCTGAACCGTTTCCATGTTATGATCCAGGATAAGTCATATTAAAGGTATTATTCTCTTCAAAACAAACAAATGTATACAATGTATCTGTTTATTATAGAGTGGGGATAACAGCCGTTTGCATGTTATGGTCAATAATGGGGCGGTTAAGGCTGGATTTTAGTCTACCACCTGGGGGCTCTGCTGAGGTGGATCCATATCAAAAAAAGGTTCGGAATAGTTCAATGTATAAGTGTGCCACGTTTGGTGCTTTTAACCCAAAGTGCACAATTCTAGCCTTAACCGCCCCACCACAAGGACAGATCAACAGAAGGGCCAGTCCTGGTAGCATATGAGCATTCCTCTCATTATACTCAGCAATTGTACAGATGGTAAACGGTGGGGATCTCAACCGTGTCCAAGTTATAAACTTTTTTTGGCCCCGCCCCTCAGCCCCTGTACAATTGTGAATTCCCCTCACCTGAGATTATTTCCAATTAAATATGGTTGATGTCCATCTCTTAGTTCCAGAGAGGAAGTCGTTTAAAGCAATGTAGCCAAATTACCCCTATTTTGCCCCCGCCCCTCAGCCTCTAGTGAACTAGACTTGCCAAACATTATAGACTTGCCAAACATTATAGACTTGCATGGGGTATATTGGAAATATTTGTTTCAGGGTCTGTATGACAAGACTTCCACCATGCGTATGCACGTTGCTATACAAATGACGTAGTCTTGAACCCCACGATAATCGTTAAACTCCATTTCACCTCACCACCTATCGTTTGTTTTGCGTATTTTGTGTGAGAAGAACCACTGCCTACATGGAGCCGTATGGTTGCCACGCTACGGCCGAGAGAGTGCAGATGAACACCGAACATGTTCGAACAGGGTGTCGGCCGTCTCGTCACTTTAATTATGTTTTAAACGTTGCTCTCAACAAGGGCTATCGGTATATGGTCTCTGTGCTTATCAACCATATGTTTTTAACTAATAAAACACCATTTTGAATACACATACTAAGAATCTCGTATCGAATGTAGTTGAGGTGTTTTAAAGTATCGTGTTCGTTTCTTCTGAAAATAATAAAATCTATAATATTTGTGTCTTGTGTGTGTGTGTGTGTATATATATATATATATATATATATATATATATATATATATATATATATATATATATATATATATATATAACACCGGTATCATAAGTGCATGCGTTAGATAAAACTGGTATATTGCATGCATGTGCTGACTATAGTTTGTTTGTTGCTTAACGCCGCACTCAGCAATATTCCAGCTATATGACGCGGTCTGTAAATTATCGAGTCTGGACCAGACAATCCAGTGAATGACATCATCAGTATCGATCCACGCAACTTGGATACCATGACATGCAACAACCATGTCAGCGCGCCTGACCTACCGATCCCGTTAGTCGCCTTTTACGGCAAGCATGGGTTGCTGAAGACCTATTCTACCCCGGATCTTCAGTCGCATCAAGAACTATCCACCCCAACTCACATGATCTCAATCAGCAAGTTCACAGACCTTAGGCCACTCTCGTCCTACAAATATTTGTGTTTTTTAAATGTTATCTGATTATGCTGTCACTCCTGTTGGATAACCCGGCCTCCCCAGGCAAGCAGTTTATTTAAAGATATTGTATGCAAATGTTTTTAGTGGTGCACACCAGTTTGAATTTGTCAAAATGTGAAAAAGTTTATAGTGCTTGCGAGATATTTACTCCCACTTTTCATTTCGAGATCCCCCGAACAACCACCAAAAAAATAAATAAAAAAATAAATAAAATTCCTTACAATTAATTTGCATTGAATAACAAAAACGACAGGTAACTGTAAATTTTATTTATGTGTCACTTGCACCATCACTGAACATAAAAACACCCAACATCTGTACAAGGTGTTATAGTAACAGTAAAAAGGTCAATCATTAAAAAAACATCAACTCCATCAGTTTGACAGGACTCAAACATGACGGAAATTATCACTTATTGTCCACATTCACCCTTAAAGCTCCACTACACTTCACCCCAACACAGTACTCACTGGGACAGTCACAATTAGGACAATTATTATTCAAATAACAAACAATATTAAATGAATATGTTTCATGAAACATTTAGCAACATTGAAGTCATGTACAGTCCAGTCCAAAATTCAAGGGTCACAATAATCGATTCTGCAAAAGATAAGATCATATCAAATCTGTATGAATGAGTGAGTATGTATTTAGGCCACTTTTAGCAATATTCCAGCAATATCACTGCAGGGGACACCAGAAATGGGCTTCACACATTGTACCCATGTCGGGAATTGAACCTGGGTCTTCGGTGTGACAAGCTAACGCTTTAACCACTAGCCTTCCCGACCGCCCCCAAATCTGTATGAGGGAGGGGAGGGGAGGGGAGGGGAGAAAAGTTTTAAATGACAGATTGCTTGTTTAATACAGAGGGGAATCGACAGCAGTAGGACGGAATGTTGACACTGAACAGCCAGTAAAGAAATTGAGACAGGGTCACAGATAACATCTCCAGCAACTGTTAATCGTTTGCAACATTTGCTTCATGTAGAATATATTTCATGTTGATAATTTACACATGTAGATTTGACAAATATTGGACTGAAGCGGTAACTTCTCATAAATGCAGTGAAGTAACTTACGCCTTAATATTTCACATAATATGTAAAATGAATGTAATTTTTTTAATGTCAGAATTTTGAATATACTCTCAGGACTGGCCAATTCAGTTTGTTTCTATAAAGAAAAGCATACTGTAAATATTGTTAAAATGTGAAAGAAACTAAAATATATGTTAAGAACCTTTTCATCGTAAAAAAACTAGTAAACACACGCAAAATTTATTTTTGCTTTCGCATTGATCATTGAGTCACAGATCAATCTGAAATACAATACATTCAATTGTTCTTGGAATGCCTCAGTAAATGATTTTCAATTTTTTTATTATTTTGCAAAGTATTTTTTTTCTTTTGATTTAATGAATTAAAAAAATATCACATGAATGACTAAATCTGAATGGTTTTGGGGTATTATCATTCAAAGTTTGGATCCAGAAAAACAAACATAAAATCTTAGGCTTCATTAGAACAAACAATTTGAATAATAGTGAACAGCTCCAAAAACAGGAACAATCAGAACCAGTCTTGCTAATTGCCAACTCTAAAAAAACAGCAGCAATAACATCTGTTGGAGGAAACTGTAACGATAAAATGCTCAACAACTTGCAGCAATGCAAACATTCAAATGAAAACATAGGCGACATATATTATTAGATTACAAGAGAGATGGTGCATTGTGTACAAATTGATAAAATAATTAACATATGCACATAAACTAAAACTTATGGTATTGCTAAATATATACTTAATAATAATTTTACATATACCTTGTGAGATATTTTTGTAACTGATGCAGGCAACAAATTTATAATTTGGCCAGCTGTGTCAATATAATAAATATAAAAAATTAAAGATAAAAATTAAAAAAAACATCATAATATGCCCTCTTATCAGATCTCTTATTATGTCAGAGTGAAGTCTGGTTTCAGTTTCAGATAACAATGTCAGAGGGAACAGGTTTCCAGACTAAGGAAGCACTGTGTTTGTTTCAAAAATGGATATTCCAAAGGGTAACACTCCGTCACTAGAAGTCTCATATTTAGGGCATGGGTAAAATACTGAGATAAACACTGTAAAGTAATAGAATTTCATCCAAATGAATCATGAATTATCATCTCCTTTAGATGTAAAACTCAAAACAGAATTCATAGTAAAATCTTAATTTTGTGTAGGTAAAATAAAAGGTTTTTTTAGGAAACCCTATGGGGGCATCTTATGAGTGAGCAAATCTTAAAACAAATCTGTATAAGGAGCAAACTGAGTCTGACATAAAATCCCAACTGAGTACAACATGGTCCAATGCACCTTCAATGTCTCCGGGCCAAACACTGTATACATGTCTCTTTGTTCAATGGTCTTAGCCAATGGTCATCACATGGTCATCTTGACTTTCAGTAGAATTTAGATTGTGAAGTTGGTCTTTATTTACAATTGTACTGAAAGCCCTCCTCTGTTTTCTGCCTCTTCCTCGCTTGCATATTGGAGAAGAACTCCTTGATGTCTTCCTCTCTCACAACCTGGACAGAAAACAGAGTTAGCTCCCATTGGCAGGACAACAACCTTGACCATGCCGTACATGTCTCCACTAAACTTTCATATATACCCTTGGCCTATTCACAACTACAGCTCTGTTTTGAAGCTGTTGAACGGCATGTAGCTAAGATTGTTTCCTGTTTAACGCCACACTCCATGGAGCTAAGAACTACTGTCCAATCAAATTACTCCCATGAGCAAGAAGCATTCTGTGCCAAATAAGAGCGTGAGTATTGTTTTACGCCGCTTTTAGCAATATTCCAGCAATATCACGTCGGGGCACGCCAGAAATGGGCTTCACACATTGCACCCATGTCGGGAATTGAACCTGGGTCTTTGGCGTGACGAGCGAACACTTTAACCACTAGGCCACCCGACCGCCTCTCCAAATATGAGATAGGAGCAATGGAGTTGGTGATGACATTTCAGAAGCGAGGCTATGGTGGCACGTTAGTCCAGCATCCTTATCATAATAGAATGGAGATACAATAGACTGGAAAACTGAGGGATGGGTTGAAAATTGGGGCACTGCAATAGCTAAAATAATATATATAACCACTTGAAATAATATTGCAATAGTTGAAATACATGTCTACAATTTCCTAAGTTTACAGATTGCTTAGGAAGTTCATGGAGATCACTTAGATTATATTCAAACATTCAGTACCTGTAGATTATTGGCAAACATTCAGGTACCTGTAGATTACTGTCAAACATAACGGTATCTGTAGATTATTGTCAAACATTCAGGTACCTGTAGATTATTGTCAAACATTTAGTACCTGTAGATTATTGGCAAACATTCAGGTACCTATAGATTATTGTCAAACATTCAGGTACCTGTATATAACTGTCAAACATTAAGGTAACTGTAGATTACTGTCAACCATTCAGGTTACTGTAGATTACTGTCAAACATTAAGGTTACTGTAGATGTCTGTCAAACATTAAGGTACCTGTAGATTATTGTCAAACATTCAGGTACATATAGATTATTGTCAAACATTTAGGTACCTATAGATTATTGTCATACATTAAGGTACCTGTAGATAACTGTCAAACATGACGGTACCTGTACATTTTTGTCAAACATTCAGGTACATATAGATTATTGTCAAACATTCAGGTACCTGTAGATTATTGTCAAATATTAAGGTAACTGTAGATTACTGTCTAACATTAAGGTACCTGTAGATTACTGTCAAACATAACAGTACCTGTAGATTACTGTCAAATATTAAGGTACCTGTAGATTACTGTCTAACATTAAGGTACCTGTAGATTACTGTCAAATATTAAGGTAACTGTAGATTACTGTCAAACATTAGGTAACTGGAGATTACCTAATGGTCAAACCTAACGGTACCTGTAGATTACTGTCAAACATTAAGGTAACTGGAGATTACTGTCAAACATGAAGGTTCCTGTATATTACTGTCAAACATTAAGGTAACTGGAGATTTTGTAGAATTTTCCTATTCGGAATATTCTATAAGTAATACGTTACCACTGTTATACCGAGGCTGTTGTCTCCCACAACTGCTGCTATAGCGAAATCTACCACAGAGATCTCAATTACCTCATGCAGCACGTGCGTAGCCACCTAGCTGCCATGTGACACCCTTCACTCTTGTCTCCTGCGAGAGCAAGTGCTCGGGGGACGGACGGGCGGGCAGCAGCCCAGTGGTAACGTATTACTTATAGAATATTCCGAATAGGAAAATTCTACAAATTACATTAAGTAATACGTTACCACTGTTATACCGAGGCTGACTACCACAGTAGGCGGTGGGGAGCACCTACAACCCGAATCCTGACTGCTAGCGTTCCTTCCGACCAGCGGAAGTAAACACCAAGGCGGAAGCACTCGATGCGCATGCACCTAGCTAGGCGTTACCCTATAGGAATACCAAAGCACTGTCAAGCGCATACCGTAAGGCTCAATCGTCAATGCCAAAACGATTGGTGACTCCAAACGGCCCCACTGGATAGGTATTTCATCGCCGCAGCGGATGAGAACACTGTATCCGCGTGAGCTAAATCTTAGATCAGGTTAAACAGTCAAAAAGAGGGAAATTAATTTCCTTCAGACCGTATATCCCAGAGCAAACCTACTTAAAGTATGCATTAGGCGCGTGACCTAATTCCAGTATTCGTAAGCATGTATCGCAAGGTTGGAATACACGACAGACAATTAAATGCATAATTGTCAAAATACAAATAAGGACAAAACACACAAAAAGCCGCCTCACCTGTGGTGTGAGTGCGCTGGTTTGCAGGACCCCCACTCCTGTACCCACGGCGTGGGAACATTGGAGACGACCCAGATTGACCACCGTGCAAGGACTGACGACTGCGGAGTTTGGAATTGCGCTGGACACACCCCCTAGATGACCGCTTGTGCCGCGATCAGCGGCCCAAGACGGTGCACCCCCTCCACGTCTTCATCAGAAACCTTTCTGAGGTAATGATTGGCAAAAAACGAGTCAGAACGCCAGTAACAACCTCGTAATATTCTGTGAACAGAGATATTCGAGTGTAGGGCAAATGTTGCCGCAAGCGCCCTGATCTCGTGCGGGTTTGACCCCGCTACCGGTAACCCCCGAGACCGGTACGCCAGATTGATGACAGAACGAAGCCACAACGCAATCGAGTTGCGAGTTATGTCAACCGTGCGATTAGGGTTACACGATATGAACAGACGGTCACGCCCTTGTCTACGTTCATTCGAAGCCTTAAGATAATACTTAAGGGCCCTAACCGGACACAGCGCTCTGTCCTCAGTATCAGCAGGATGTAAGATTTCTTTGAGGGATCTTACAGTGAATTCTCTCTCCGTTTGCCCGACTCTCTGATTCTTGGCGACGAAGCCCATGAGCAGGCCCAGGCGGACCGCTCCTTCGTCACCCCTATCGAATCGTACCTTGGCGACATCGAGTGCATGAATTTCGGATACACGTGCCGCCGTGGCAAAGGAGAGGAGAAATGCTGTTTTCCAAGTCACATGCCGGAACGAAGCACTATGCAAGGGTTCATACGGAGCTTCCGTAAGTGATTGCAACACTAGGGAAAGATCCCAGGCCGGTGCCCGAAGGCGGCCCTTCTTAAGATCGTGCTGTTTGAAACCCTTGATAATACCCCGTATCACCGGCTCTTTGGAGAGACTGGTACCAATAGCAACGTCCCGTACCGTAGCAACGGACGAGACAGTTGGCAATGAAACCCCCGGAGAGTTTCCGGGTCTCTCGCAAGTGAGACATGAAACGAGCAATATCCTGCACAGATACCTTATCTGGCGAATGAATGTGATGTTTACAACACCACTTCGTGAAAATAACCCAACGTGCATTATACACCTTCTGGGTAGAATCACGATGCATACTAACGTATGCCCGAGACGCCCGGCGAGAAAAACCTTTACTCCTCAGACGCTCGGTGACAACATCCACGCGTGCAGATTGAACTGCCCTGCGTTTGGATGAAGCTGACGGGTGTGAGGGTGGATCAAGAGATCCGGTCTCACAGGCAGTGGGAGTGGCGACTGCGTGACCTGGGTCAGCAAGTCGGGGTACCACGATCTGTTCGGCCACATGGGCGCGATCAGTAACATTCGACAGCGAACTCCTCGAAGCCGGCTTAGAATGTGTGGTATCAACGCTGTCGGCGGGTAAGCATAAGCGTCCAAGCCCGTCCAGTCTAACGCGAGAGCATCGTGATCGATGGCCCTCGGGTCCGGGACTGGTGATACAAACAACGGGAGTTGATTGTTGAACCGTGTTGCGAACAGGTCGACCATCGGACGACCCAAACGTTCGCACAGCCACTGAAACACCACTGGGTTCAGCATCCACTCTGTGGGGCTCTGATCCTGAGGCCTCGATAGAGCATGGGCCAGTACATTCCGCACACCTGGGATGTGACGGGCGCGTATCTGGCACGGGACACTGTCCACCAGAGCGTAAAACTCGAACGTGAGATCGAGTAGCGAGTGACTGTGGGTTCCCCCCAGTTTGTTCACATAGGACACTACCGTCGTGTTGTCGGTCGCCAGCATGAGCCGGGCGTCGACGAGACGATGCTTCCAGTGATTGACTGCGTTGATCACTGCCTTGAACTCGAGACAATTGATGTGAAGACCTAGTTCGTCTACGCACCACAGCCCCGAGCTCACCTCCCCCTCTAGATGGGCGCCCCAGCCCACTAGAGAGGCGTCTGTATACAGGTTCAACGTGGCCCGGTAGGGCCGCATAGAGACTCCTGATAAGACATTGTAAGGGAGCGTCCACCACTCCAGATGCGGTCGGAGCCGATCCGGGAGGGCGACGGTCGCACAGTTCACCTCCGTAGCTAACAACTGGACTAAAAACCGTTGCAGCGGGCGGAGTTGGAGACGACCCCGTTCGGTGCAGTCCTGGGCTGATACAAGTAGCCCTAACAGCTGTTCCCAAAAGTGAACAGTCTGTTGCACCGCTAAGACTTTGGCAATCATCGCCTGAATTTTGTGCCACCGGTCTGGGGGGACAAATAAGCGATGGGACACCGTGTTGAACCGACCTCCGATGAACTGCAAGTTCTGAGAAGGGGTTAACTCGCTCTTGGGGAGATTGACAATCCACCCCAATTGCTCCAAGAGCCGACGTGCGAAAACGAGATGGCGTGACAGGGTGTCCGACATTCGATTTGCTACTAGCGAGTCGTCCAGGTACGCGAAGTACCGGACACCCCTCCGGTGGAGGAACCCCACTATGGGGGTGGTTAACCGGGTGAACAGCCAGGGAGCGGATGAAAGACCGAATGGGAGTACAACCCACTCGTAGTGCCTGCCTTGAAAGACAAACCTGAGATACTTCTGATGATCTGAGTGAATCGGAACATGCAGATAAGCATCCTTCAGGTCGATCGAAGCTAGCCAGTCGGCCGGCATGATCAGTGCTTTCAGGTCCGTCAAGCTCAACATTCTGAACTTGGGCGGTTTGCGCAGGTAGAACTCGTTGAACGATTTCAAGTTGTGAATCATTCTGAGTTCGGCACTGTCCTTCTTGGGAACGAGAAATATCCTGGAGTAAAACCCCGGTGTTATTTCTGGTAGAGCTAACTCCCGAACTGCCCTCTTCTCCACCAACCTGCCGATGGCATCGGCGAGGAAGGGAAGATCGGTTTCCAAATAGAAACCTGCCGACGGGGCAACGGTGAGCGGCGGATTCGCTATGAGATCGAGCCGATAGCCGTACCGAATCGTGTTGACCACCCACGGGTCGTCGAACACTTGTTCCCAATTCTCCCAGTAAGTCTGGAGTCTGGCTCCCACTGGGGAAAGAGAGGGGGGCCGGACGGGCTGCGGCAGGCGCAACTGTCCAGGGCCAAGTGACTCGGGTTCGCCTACGGGCCAACCGAAGTTGGCGCTGTCGGCATACGAACCCCTCCAATGAGAGTCACCTGGAGGGGCCCTTGCCGTCCTTAGACGACTTGGGCTTCCCCCAGTTCCCCTTCTTCCCGCGAAAGGGCTGCTGAGAACCCTTACCGGAGCCCTCAGAGCGGGGCTTCTTCCCGGAGGAAGAAGGACCCGACCCCTTAGGCCTGCCGGACGCAGCATCCTGGGGCGCGCTCCGCTTCGGAGCGGCACCCAGGCGCCTATGCAAGGACCCCACAAGATCCAGTGTGTGCCGAGAGGCCTCGGCAGACACAGCGGCCTGTTGTTCCTTCAGAACCCCAGGGATCTTGTTATTAAACAGGGTCCGAGCAGACCAAGGCTGCGAAAGGAGCACCTCCTGATTAGCAGCGTCCAACCCTGAAGCAACCAGATACGACTAGCGCCGAAGAAAATGGCACGTGCCGGAAACAAAGGCCGAAGCCCCGGCAACGTATTCCAGGGAAGCATTCAAACCGAGCAAGCAGTTGTAAATGCGCTGGTCTCGGTCCGTGGGAGAACCTTCGACCAGACTGGCCGCTGCAGCCAGGTATGTGTCTCCGTGAGACATTGCCAGCATGGAGTGTCGAGCGAGGGTGTCCAGCTGTTGCAAGGTACCTTGTGGTACCGTGGCAACCGGTGGGGCACGGACCCCCAAACGCTCCACATGGGCTTCCGCAGAAGGACCAGCCTCGGGAAAGCAAGGTCATGTACTGGGAAAGACCCTTTTCTCCACGACGGGGGAGGTAACGGGAGACCCCAACCGGAGGCAGCCGTGAAGGCCTTCTCCAAAGAAGGCTTAATCCCGCGCAGCAAGGTTGATGCCGGGAAAGCCTTGTCGGACGTCTCGTCGTATACCTCGGAGGAACCCACGGAACCGTGGATTCCCCGCGGTATCGGCAGGGGCTTTGGCATGTCCTCGAAGAGGTCATACACCATGGCAACGCGGTCCTTAACCGATAGCGGAAGCAACGGTTCGGGGGAAGGACCGGTAACCACGGCAGCCGCCGCCGTACCGGTGGACCCCGCGTCCGAACCCGCGGCCACCGAAGAGGCCGGGGACGGAACAGCCAGCAGCCTATCTTGCGATAAGGCCGCCAGCTTGGAGTCCACAAGTTTCGACAATAATGCGGCGACGGAAGCCCCAGACAGCCCGAGGGCCGCAAGGGGATCCGCCGCAGCCGAGGAGGTGGTACCCGCACGGGGACCCCGACCGGACGAACCGGCCACCACAGGGGTGGAGACGGACTGTACGTACAGCCGGTACCGCTCAAACTCCGCAGGCCCCAGACCTTCGCACAGGGTACACCGGGTGTCCCCGCAAGGAACCCTGCACCGCGGGCAACGATCGTGGGGATCCCGGGATGACAAAAACTTTCTGCACACCCCACAACTCCGAGGAGCAGGGGTAGAGGGGGTGGATACTGGGGACATATCCATGTCAGACATTGTTTGCTATAAACAAAGAACAAAACATGGTTACAACGCACGCACCACAACGATTCACAAACGAGCATTTTCACAAGAAAATAAACGAGCAATGTGAACATATAACATACACATATAACTTTTATTAAAGAAATAAGTTATGTTAACCCCCAAAACATACAAGAACAGGGGAAACGTAAAACACAACGTGCATACGCGAACCCCGCAAGTATAGAGAAAAAAGGGAGGGAAAATTATAACCAAGCGTAGCTACCGCAACGCCCCATAAAAGCACAGTTTATTAGAGAATAAACTATAATAAATATCACCAAATCTTCAAGGAACGCTTCAGCAGGAGAAAACACGTCTTGCTAAGCAGACGAAGGAGACAAGAGTGAAGGGTGTCACATGGCAGCTAGGTGGCTACGCACGTGCTGCATGAGGTAATTGAGATCTCTGTGGTAGATTTCGCTATAGCAGCAGTTGTGGGAGACAACAGCCTCGGTATAACAGTGGTAACGTATTACTTAATGTAATACTGTCAAACATTAAGGTACCTGTATATTACTGTCAAACATTAAGGTACCTGTATATTACTGTCAAACATTAAGGTACCTGTAGATTACAGTCAAACATTAAGGTTACTGTAGATTACTGTCAAACATTAAGGTACCTGCAGATTACTGTCAAACATTAAGGTTACTGTAGATTACTGTCAAACATTAAGGTACCTGTTGATTACTGTCAAACATTAAGGTTACTGTAGATTACTGTCAAACATTAAGGTACCTGTAGATTACTGTCAAACATTAAGGTTCCTGTAGATTACTGTCAAACATTAAGGTAACTGTAGATTACTGTCAAACATTAAGGTAACTGTAGATTACTGTCAAACATTAAGGTACCTGCATATTTGACCCGGACAACCTCAGTTATAACTAGACTGATCCTGATTAATGTCACCTGGCATTTGATTCTTTCATATTACTATAGTTATTTGTCAATCATGGCAGGACAGATTAACTATAGTAATATGAACAAATCATGTGGCCCTTAACTTTTTTTTGAGTAGCATATTTGTTGAACCCTGCTATCCATAGTATGATCTCCCACCCACTGGAGTCCCAGAGGGTAGTTTGTATCTTGTAAGTTGTTGCACTTGTGTACAGAAAGCTGATTTCATTATAACCTGAGTCTGTCAAATGAATGTGTGTCATGTATCTTGTACAATATGCAACCCACCTTTCCATTTTCAGCAAACTTCTTCAGGTAATCACTGAGCTGGGACTTCATATCATTGAAACCTGCAGCAACATAAAATAATGTTATAAACTGTAATTCAAATGAATGAGTGAGTCACAGATTTACCTGGGTTTATCTTTTAGCCCAGGGACTCTCAGCTTGTTGTGTCCAAGGCACGGACATGGGAGTCCCGACTGGCGACATAAGGCATGCTCACGGGATCATGTTGATTTCCATACATACTACTACGTCCTATCACTGCACTAGCGCGGAAGCTTTATTCTATTATAGATAGGGATTTCAGTGCTAGACTGAATAAAATCAACAATGATTTCGAATCTTAAGTGAATTTCCAACCAGAATAGAAATGTCAGTTACATTTAACATGCAATCCACAATTTGGATTAGTTTTTTAAATTCAAAGGGGACTTTTTCATACCTCACGACTCGCAATGTAATTATTTGCAACCATGCACAATTTGTATGAGTGTAGATGCAACATAATGCCTCCAGTAAAACCCTGGTGTGTTGGTTAAAACACCACTTTGAACATCATTTCATGTTGCATGACCAGGGATAATACTCGGGGGAAAGTGGGATATTCAAACCAAAACTAGCAAGTTGATATGCTTTCTTTTTGCAGGTGAATCACAACCCTGAATCAAGACTCATGTCATGACAACACTTTGAAACTCTTTGACGTTCTTATTACAGAAATGTTGAGAGGACATCCCTGAAGACAATCACTGACAATAACAACTAATCTGTTTTTACGCCAATATTACTTGTATCACGATACGGGGTTGCAGAGTATCGTGGGTCTTGTATTGGGATAGAATACTGTATTGCCATATCGTCACACCTCTACTAGTAAATATTGGTAGTTGTTAAGTAAATGCTATAGTTGTATTCTTGCATAATACTTTGAAAACTCATATTCGATGTTCTGTAATATTTCGCAAATTTGCCACAAAAATCAAATTAACTTGTTCAGGGGGGATGAGATCTTCAAACACAACAATATCGTTGTACAGGTTACGAATCTCGTTCAAATGTACTTGGAGGTGGACTTAAGCACAAAAATGAATTTTTTTTAGGGTAAAAATATCACTTATACGTATCCTGACTCATACTTATTGCTTGTCTCGTCTCATAACCAAAAGGTAGTGGAAATTTCCTGTGCTGTATTCCTGAAGAACAGAAAAAACATCTCACCCAAAAACACCCCTGCAACACGCAATTGCACCGGAACTACGTCACCACACCGGCTTACTCGTCACTCTCCATTTTCCTACTTCTATATGTCCGAAAAACACATCAGGGACAGCAGGGACAGGTGGGTGGATGCTTCAGCGTATGAGTCAGGATAAGTACAAATGACAATCTTACCCTAAAAAAAAATCATATTTCACCTCACCATACTAATTGATAAAGTCACACAGTTGGCGGTGAGTCTCCCCTCCATGTGTAATTCTGACATGATCTATTCTGATGTAAAAAAACCCATTGGGAACGTGGTCAGACATTCTTGTAGGCTTCTATTTCTTTAGAAGGGTACCACCTCCTCTTTGGAGAATAGGGAGTAAATGTATGCTGTTTGTGGATTTGATAAAGCGGGCATAGAATAACAATCCAGCTTACTTTACAACGATTACAGTGTTAAGAGAAGGGTGTAATCTTGACACAATATTTATCACTCATGAGCTGAATTACATAGTAATACAGGGGAACATGGCTTCTCGGCCGGTGGTTATGGGTCAGCAACCTGAAGTCAATGAGTCATGTGATTATGGGTGAATGTACATCTTTAGGCTATCTCTGGTTGGTATTGTTAGTTCCTGTGGTCCAAATTGATGAATACCAGCAACATCTTCTGTGGCGATATCTCTGGGTTAATGGTTCACTGAAATGAAGTCAGATCTCCAGAAACATCTCCATGATGGTCAGGGTGGTGCAGCTCCCGTGTAGGGCTAGAGTAGATGCTATCGCCCTGACTTTCGCATGGGCTGGACGCTGAATGTGGGTCCAACCCTCCTGCCCTGTAGGCCTGAGTACAGTGGTTGTTCTGGAGACTTCTGAAGAAACATTCCTCGATAATGGAATATACAGTCTTAAAATACTTGTCTATCGAAGGTAGATGCATAGAGCCCTAGCTGGGCAAAGGGATAAGTCCTTGGTTTCCTTTGAATCAAGAATGGCTGTCCAGGTAACTGATTTCAGTGATGAAGTCCCATCTCAAGCCGATGCATGTTCACCACTCTCGAATCATAATTCGTAATTATTCATAATATGTTCCATATGTAAGCTCGTAGAGATCTGTCTTGGATGAACTTGTTTGGAACTTGGATGATGAAGCAGATTTGGCCAGTTCGGGAACTATTGCGACGAGGTACGGGAACCACGTTCTCGCCGGACAATGGGGACCCACCAAAGCAGTTTCAGGTTCTTCATATGCATGATCTTCTGTAAAACCAGAGGTATCAGTGCTGGTAGTGGTAACACTTACGTGTCCAGTCCCTCCCTCAATATTGCCGGTTGTCATTGGACCAAGCCAGAGGGTCTGCTACTGAGGACACTTAAGCTGCTGTCTGTCTGTTGAATCTGGTGGCAAATAGGTCCACCGATGGGCAACCTTCCTCCCTTGTTGCCAGTTGAAATGCTTATGGATGTAGCATCCACTCTGTTGGTAACGGTATTGATGGCATCTGTGAACACATCGGATGCTCCTGGAATGTGTCTTGCTTTGACCCATAGATTCCATTTTTCCGATGGCAAGGGGTTAACTGACTATAAAAGTCATGTTTTCCACCCAAGCCAAATTAGGCTGGAATTTCCAGGCTCAATCGTAGTGCCACATTACGAGTTATGTACCTTCAATGTCCAACCTATTGACCAATCAGTTTCCACCTCTCATATCACTTGCATTTGATTCAATAAAAATGGTGGCACCCAGTCTTCACGATCTGATCAATAATCTATATTGTAATAAAACGGGTCTTACCCCGTGAAGTGCATCAAATCACTTGAGCCCCTTGATTAAAAACATAAAAATATTTTCAAAATATCTGTTGACACCCAGTTGGCAGTACTGTACCCATGCTTTGCAAATCCTACAGTTGACCGAAATCTGCACGCTGAAATCCATGTTGTTTACCACTCGAATGACTAATTTGTTACACGATTTTGAATGGACTATGCATGGACTTGGTGCAGCCAAAATGTAACTCAGGGAATCCAGCCTAGTCTGGCAAAGGCGGAAACTTGACTTTTATAGTCAGTTCACGCCTTATCCCAGGAAGATGGTAGATTTAGACTGTCGGTTAGTTTGTACAGCTGAAAGGATAACCTCAGAAGGGACTGCTGATCAGGTCGTGCCTTGGAGGTTTATGTAGAAGGCCACAGTTGAGTTGTCTGTTCTTGTGGTTTATGTGGAAGTGGTATTCTTGTACCTACCTTAGTCCTGATGCAACCTCTGAGTTGAGGTGGGCACCCCATCCTTGTAATGAGGCGTCTACTAATAGGTGTTGATTGTATTCCTGCTCGTTCAAATATGTTCCTCCGCAGACATTCGATTTGATGTCAAAGTCAAGGTTCTGGAAGGTCCAAGAACAGCTTGAGGAATCATTGGATGGGACTCAGATAAAGCCTGCCCCATATGTCAAAGCTTGAGCGGTAGTGATCAGACCTAAGGTCACTTGCCGTTGGTTGAATGAAATCTGTTTGTAAATAGCTACTAGAAGATAGCTTTGGATTTCGATCCACCGATCCTCTGGCACTTGAATAAGATTCTGTGTCGTTAGGAATCTGATCCCTAAGACGTGGTTGAATGTCGGATTTCTGATTGTCGGCTCGCTTGAGGGAGAGATATTTTTGTGTTCTTGGGGAACACAGCACAGGAAGTTTCCACTATCTTTTGGGAATGAAAAGAGATAAGCAATAACCGTATACAGTGTTTGAAATTGGCACTCGTCCTGTAGTCCTTGCCAAACTGCCCAATAGTTGGGGTATCATAAGGACTAGTATAAATTAGCCATTTTCAAGGGTTTTGCCATATGTTATTATTATAAGGACTAGTGGACGAAAACTGTTAGTTTCTAATGGTGCGGATATCACCATGAATGAGGCAGGTTTTTTGCACCTAGAATTAGGGGGATTTCAAGGGGGGTTGCCCTATGCACAGGGTAGAAGAGTTGGGACGTTTTTTCCCCCCAACACAAAGACATTACCGTGAGCACATAACACCGGATATACCAGGTCAACAAATCCATACTAAAGTAATGCAAATTAATCTTGTATTTACACTGTCTCGTTATAAAAAGTAATCTTTGTATATTTGGACTTACGTTTGTAACCTATTTTATTAGGTTTATTAAAAATTTCATTCAATATTGTTCACATTCATTTTGTGAAATCGTGTGTAAAGTGATCGGTAGATAGTACAACTCATCGTTATTTACAGCAACCAGTCAGATTACCGCTATTGATGCCTTGAGACAAACTTTAGTTGACAGACAATAGATATACCGTATTCGACGTAATAAGCGTCCAGGGCGCTTTCAAAATTAGAAATAGGGGGCTCTTATAAGAATATTATTTTATTGAAAAAAAACTCAAGAGTTAAAAGATAAATTTCGTGGTTTATGCTGACAGCCTGAAATGTTTATGTACAACAGATATATTTTTCCAGAATTTAATTGCCCTAATTAAGTGTGCATATAACACACGAGTGTGTATTATACGCGAATATATAAGTCTTGTGTACATTGATCAATCGGAAGGGTTGCTAATTAGGATTGTTCACTGGCCAATATATTAGCAAATATCGCTGTGGGCGCTTATTACGTCGAATACGGTATATATATCATACATGCAACACTTTGACTCGTTGAAAGACATATTTCTTGTAGTTTGACTATCATATGTCAACATAAAGTTTTCGCGATCGCAAGAGTGGTTTTTACTTTATTTCAAACATCCATAGTAATGCATCGTGATTACCTTATTGCTGGTGTTCAAGTAGCCAGATTGTCAGCATTTCACCTTCAGTGTACTTATTCAATCCTCTCTGATTAATCTCATTGGCTTCATCATTATATTGTTATCTTTGTACATTAAGCCTATTCGAGCAGCTTTGTCATTATATAGTTATCCTTGCACATTAATCCAAGTCATTGGCTTTGTTATTGTACATTCATCCCACCTTGTGTTGTGGAAACATCTCATGACTATATTAACTGTATGCACTTTCTAAGCATGAAGGAGCAAGTAGTAGCTCTGAAACGTCGTGACAAAGAATATAAGAAGTTGACATCCATAAAAAGTGTCAGGTGTTCATGTTCTCCCTACTTTTAAATGCCCATCAAAGACTTTTACGCATGAATAGTTCTCTGGAGAACCTAAGTTTGAAACGAAGGGATAAAAAGGAAGGAATTGTTCCCAAATCTTAATGTTGGTTGGTTGGTTGGTTTGCTGTTTTACGCCGCACTCAGCAATATTCCAGCTATATGATGGCGGTCTGTAAATAATCGAGTCTGGACCAGACAATCCAGTGATTCACATCATGAGTATCAATCCACGCAATTGGAATACAATGAGTGAGTGAGTGAGTTAGTATGGTTTTATGCCGTTTTTAGCAATATTCCAGCAATATCACGGTGGGGGGACACCAGAAATGGGCTTCACACATTGTACCAATGTCGGGAATCGAACCTGGGTCTTCGGTGTGACGAGTGAACGCTTTACCCACTAGGCTACCCGACCGCCCCGGGATACGATGACATGCATCAACCAAGTCAGCTAGCCTGACCACCAGATCCCGTTAGTCACCTTTTACGACAAGCATAGTCGCCTTTTACGGCAAGCATGGGTTGCTGAAGACCTATTCTACCCCGGAATCTTCACGGGTCCAAAAACATAATGATGCATGTACAGAAATCTGAACAAATTGACTTCATTGGCATGGATTTTATATGACACATTTGAAAGTTACTTTAATCTGATCTCAAACTTGAAAATTTAAATGGGTGATGTGTCAAACCCTTCATTGTGGGTTGTTCGTTGTTCGTTGTTCGTTACAGTTTCACAGCATCCAGCAGAAGGTCCCATAATGCAGCAGACCATCAGCTCCAGAACCTCACCTTGGAGTAGCTCCACCTGCTGTATCCGGTTCATCTGGGACAGAGCACTGACTTCCTTGTCGTGCTGCGACACTGGCACCTGGTTCTGACGTCCACGCTCCTCATAGGACTGTACGGTGTCATGGTCGTCAGTCAGAAACAGGATCCCTTTGTCCTTGTACATGGTCTGGGGAAGGCAGGGATGTGGAAAATGTAGTGGAAAAATAATAACGGCATGACAATCAAGGGAAGTGAGTGAGCGAGTGAGTGAGTTTGGTTTTACGCCGCTTTTAGCAATATTCCAGCAATATCATGGCGGGGGACACCAGAAATGGGCTTCACACATTGTACCCATGTCGGGATTCAAACCCGGGTCTTCAACGTGACGAGCGAACGCTTTAACCACTAGGCTACCCAACCGTCCCAATCAGGGGAAGACACAATCCTATCCAACTAGTCTACAGCTCTAGGCTTATGTAAAATAACTAGATTTTGGGAGAAAATGATTTGTCCTAGAAATATAGCAGGTTAATGGTTGTGTCTAACCGGGGAGAATGTTTCATATGAACCAAATAAGGCATGTTTGTTTGCTGCTTAACGCCACACTCAGCAATATTCCAGCTATATGATGGTGGTCTGTAAATAATCAAGTCTGGACCAGACAATCCAGTGATTGACATCATGAGAATCGATCCACGCAATTGGGATACGATGACTGACCACCCGATCCCGTTAGTCGCCTCTTACGATGTTGTGAAATGCCAAGGTATTACGCAACGCACAAATGTAGAGAATGGAGGCAGAAAAAATATATACTGTGTCTCGACACCCGAGGGACGCATGATAATATTCACTGAAGCTACATCACATCAAGAGCAGTTATGAGTGTCTGTTATTTCATCCACAATCATGACCACTGTCAACATCATCACTGATTCATTCCAGGCTCATTAGTAATTATCTGAATGTACAGTACACTACACCATTCCATAACTTTGCAGGACCCTCATATTGCCTGTAAGGACTCTTAAAATGAATTATTGGGAGCTCCATGACCACCACTTTTGTTAATCAAGGTACCGTATTCGACGTAATAAGCGCCCAGGGCGCTCTCAAAATTAGAAATAGGGGCTCTTATTAGAATGGTATTTTGGTGAAAAAAAAAAAGAGTTGAAAAATAAATTTCGTGGTTTATGCTCACAGCCTGAAATGTTTATATACGACAGATATATTTGTCCAGAATTTATTGCCCATAATTAAGGGTGCATATAACACACGAGTGCGTATTATACACGAATAAATAAGTCTTGTGTACATTGATCAATCGGAAGGGGTGCTAATTGGGATTGTTCACAAGCCAATATATTAATAAATATCGCCGTGGGCGCTTATTAGAGCGGGGCGCTTATTACGTCGAATACGGTAATACCCGGAATGCCATAACATTGTGTCTCTAATTTGCCTAAGAAGCCTGGACAAGATCCAGGATTTTAAAAAGTGTGCATGTGCACTTTTCACAAGATTTGTTATTCACCAGGCAGAAGACAAGTGGCCATAGCTTTTTCCTAATCTTGCAGTCTCAAAGCATCCCTGGGGTAGAAACAGGATTTCTTGTCCAGAAAATGCAGAAAACAACTAATTTTAACCAGCACAAATTATGATACATATAGACACAATGTCCAGAATCAATTATGAGCCACATTGGTGCCCAGACCATCATCTCTGATACCTGACCCATCTTTGTCATAAGTAGGTCACTTGCCTAATAAATATTTATATCCATTCGCAGCTGTTATTGTTCTCAGGTAAACATACATAACACGTTATTTCTGGTTTCCCGACTGACCAAACCCAGAGTCCCTGACCCTGAACCAGTTTCCTCATCTTCCTCAAGCAGCACCATGTTTATTGTCACCATGCTGGTATTGTACACAATTTATGCCACTAGTGAAAATTTGTTGCGCTCAACTATAGATAAACCAGTCATTATCTTCATGTGAAAGCAGGATTTAACTGACGTACTCATGGATTTATCTAGGACATTAACCAAGGGCCCCCGGCAGGTAAATTTGGGGGAAATAATTATTTTATTCAAAATTGTGATTTTTAATAAAGTTAAATTGTGTCTTGAGATTGGAATGAAATAATATAAAACTAAGAGTTAAAACCTCTTCCTATTTATTGGTCCTGTTATCAGGGAAATACAGGTTATATAACAAAGTGTACAACTTTTATGGATAACATCTGGTTTATTGCATATAGCGACGTTTTGAAGGACATTTTACCATTAGCAAGCTAGAGTGAAGAGGGGTAACGTATTCAACGTAATAAGCGCCCAGGACGCTCTCAAAATTAGAAATAGGGGGCTCTTATTAGAATATTATTTTGGTGAAAAAAAACAGAGTTAAAGGATAAATTTCGAGGTTCATGCTGACAGCCTGAAATATGATATAGGACAGATATATTTTTCCATTTTAATTGCCCATAATTAAGGTTGCATATAACACACAAGTGCGTATTATACATGAATAAATAGGTCTTCTTTACATTGATCATTGGGTTTGGTTTGTGCAGAGAGGCAATAAGTAGCTTATTTATGAATTGGGCATGTGGATCGCTCATCCACACCACAATAACCATTCAGTTTTCTATGATTAAATAATTGATAAATGACCAACAATTATTATTAATCAAACATTTATTATTATAATAACTTCACATTTATTTTTATTATTATTATTATAGAGAATGTGAAAATCCTTGAACCAGTATTCTACGAGTTCTATTTACATTATAGTATTACAATGCACAGATATAGTTCCAAATGAAACCGAAGCAAAGATTTTAAGTGTTCTTCAATCTTTACTTCAATCCATCTCATTAACAAGAGACCAATAGTGCCTATATCGCTCATCTGGATATTTACGCAATCATGACTAAGTATACATTTGCATTGTACATGTACATAATACTGCAAATATTTCGTAATTTTGACTGTCAGCATTTAAACTGGGTGGATGGCAAATCTGACAGCATGAACGTGTATTTCTCTACATACAAATGTAGCATAAAGATCTGAAACGTTTCCATGTTATGACCCAGGATAAATCATATCAAAGCCTCCATTTCTCCAGTTGGAATCCATTGGAGAATGCTTCCAACCTAATATGGTTGATATCTATCTCTTAGTTCCAGAGAAGAAGTCGTTAAAGCAATATAGCCAAATTACCCCTATTTGGCCCTGCCCCTCAGCCCCTGGGGGTCAGCCCCTCCATTTGTATAAATTTGAATCCTCACCACCGGAGAATGCTTCCAACCAAATATGGTTGATATCTATCTCTTAGTTCCAGAGAAGAAGTTGCTTAAAGCAATTTAGCCAAATTCCCCTATTTGGCCCTGCCCCTAAGCCCCTGGGGGTCAGCCCCACCATTTGTACAATTTTGAATCCCAACCACCTTGGGATGCTTCCAACCAAATTTCGTTAATTTCCAATTAGTGGTTCAGAAGAAGTCATTTGAATAAATTGTTGACGTACGGACGACTGATGCCACAGTATCCCATAAGCTCACCTTGGTCCTTTGAACCCGGTGAGCTGATAATAATTAACAAATAATAATAATACTTCAATCTGAAATTATTCTCGGATTTTCCAAGGGATTGAATCTGTCAGCTAGATCTAGTTAGTTCAAATAAACAGTATGTAACATAAAAACCAACTTTAGTTCTCATTTTCGAACAGGCAAACCCTCAGTTTCTGCTAGACCTGCTGATCTCGATAACTGACAACAGTCCCTGATACTACCCTTTTTCCAAGAAGAAATTTATATAAAACGTCCCACAGAAAGACTTACCCACCCTAATTAGGATGGGTGGAAATATGTGTGTCTGTGTGTGTGTCTTCGTGTGTCTGCATGTGTGCATGTGTGTGCGAATGTAGCCTTACCATGCATTCCACACACTGACAGAGTTTCTTCCTCCACCCTTCTGGCAAGAAGATGGCTTCTTCTTTCACTTCATACTTGCGAGACTTAAGATCCTTCAGAAGACAGGTGTCTACAGACGGCTGTTGTCGCTGTTGGAAAGCATCACATGAAACTGTACACATCACTGATATAAATGTTTCATCAGATTTCATAATTCCCTTTCTAGGACAATTGTTTCAATTGCTTGTTATTAAATCAGATCTTTTTCAGGAGTACAAAACAACCAGCATACTAGTGAACAGGCATTTTCAAAACAATAACCCGAGTTCTTATGTTAATAGATGATACTATATGTGCTTTTGTTTCTTGTTAAATGGTGCACTCAGCAATATTCCAGCTGTATGACGGCAGCCTTAAACTAATCAGGTGGGGACCAAACAAACCAGTGAATGATATTGTGAGCAACGATCCACATCATTGGGGTACAATTTCACGCCATCAACCAAGTCACCAAGCCTAACCACCCAATCCGTTAAATCACCTCTTTTAGGAGCATAGGTTGCATGGGACCTATTCTAACCCGGACTCCCCAAGGGTTAATAGATCCACTAACCCTAAAAATTGAAAAGTGGAAAAATATATATTCTCCACAAAACAAATGTGCATCAACTCAATCAAAACGCTATACAGAAAGAACCAGAAGTCTAAAGACATGACATTTTTTTTTATGGCTAACAACTTGTTTATTCTTTGTAAGAATGGTTCAGGGCTACTTCCTGCCCCTTCATAAGGTGAATACTGAGTAAGCTTACTTACTTACTTACTTACTTACTTACTTACTAACTATTGGAGATTTAACTTGCACTTTCCGACATATTACGTATTTCTCACATGGGCCCGCCGGGCCATTTAGTGAGATTGCCAAGGAGGTGAGGTGAAATGGAGTTTAACGTCGCGTCTAAGATTATTGCACTTATATAGCGACGTGCATGTACGCGTGTGTGTTTTTGTGGCTGCTTGTACTAGTCCGAACTGATGCTGATTTATAGTGCTAGCTCACTGAGATACCATGCCGCAGTTTAACATGAATACCCCACTCAGACACAGTATACTGACTCCGAGCCGACCAGTCCTTGTTTTAGCCTCTTAATGCCGAGCGCCAGACAGGGTAACAACAAGTACCATCTTTTAACGTCTTTTGGTATGACGCGGCCAGGGATCGAAGCCCGGACCTTCCGCTCTCCGGGCGGACACTCTACCACTAGACCACGGAGTCGGTCGAGATTGCCAAGGAGGGTATGTCCGAAAGGTGAGGCAACTTGGGGGACGTTAGGGTTGCCTATTTTCAATTTTGAGAAATTTGGAATTTGGAAACTCGCAATAGCCGGGGGGACTAAGGGTGGGTGTGGTTGTGTGGTTTTTGGATTTGTGTTGGATTAGTTTTGATTAGTGGTGGTTTAATTTTTGTAGGTGATTATATGTGTCTTGGAGGTTCAGGTTGAATGAGGTGATGAGTAAGCATATTGAGTTCATGTAATATACATCCCATGTTTATATGTTTATACAAGGTACCTTAATCCTACCTTGAGTAAACATACACATATCAGCATGTGTACTGTAAATCTGGAAAGTTTTGTGCCATGAAATTATTGCTAGTGGCTAACACTAACCTTAACTGTGTCTGGAAGGTTTTGTGCCTTGAAATTATTGCTAGTGGCTAACACTAAACTTAACTGTGTCTGAAAAGTTTTGCGATGCCCTGTTGAGGTGACCAAATATCAAAGATACATTTGCACGTGGCATATTTCATAAATAGGAAGCATCAGTCAGTGTTTTTTAAACTATAGATGTATGTTTTTGTAGTTGACAATGGATGTTTCCAGATTTACAGCATTACCTCAATAAGCTTGTAGTGTGCTCAGTATTCACCTGATGAAAGGGCAAGGAGTAGCTCTCAAACGAAAGAAAACAAGAGTCATCAGAAAGATGACATATCCCCCCCCGGCAGCTGTCTGTAAAGTAACCACAAGTAAATGTGCAATTCTGTATGTAATGAGTCAAGAGTTGAATGTTCTTGAAGAACCATACATTGTTTACCCACAAAAGATCCACCATGGTCGCATCCATATGAAATGGAAAGTAAAACAAGTGTGTTTCTGTGGGGTTTTTTTTATGCAAACAAATGACAAATTACAAGAAACAATAACTAAACAAGCGTATAGTCAACAAAGTCATCTATATCCCCCGCCCATTTTAACACGTTATGGTCCCAAACCATGCAAACCAGGTAACTGACCCAACATTTCTCTTAGCCCATGTCAAAATAGCTGCAATGGAAATTCGAAAATAAACATTTCTAAAACTCCTGAATATCAAATGGCACCAGTTCAGTATGTGCTTTATATATAGACATGCAATGTTTGGCAAGGAAATATTGAACAGTCTATTTGTTATACTCCATAAGTGAACCCACCCTATATTAAAACTTAAATCCAACTTGTTGCCATGGAAACATACAAAATAAAAATTTATAAAATTCCTTAATAGCAAAAGGCACCAGTTTAGTATGTGCCTGGTAGACATGCAAAGTTTTGTAAGAAAATATTTAACGTTTTTTGAGTTACGCTCCGGAAATGAACACCACCATTATAGAAGATAAGTCCAACTTGTTGCCATGGAAACATAAAAATAAAAATTTCTAAAATTCCTAAATGGCAAAAAGCACAACTTCACCACTTGAGTGATATAAATGCAGAATTTGATAAAGAAATGTTTAACAGTTTCGGAGTTCTGCTCCGGAAACAAATATCACTCACAAAGTTAGCCTGCATTCTTTCATGAAAATTTGAAAATAAAAACATTGGAAAAATTCGTAAATAGCAAAAGGCTCAACTTCACCACTTAAGTGATATAAATGCAAAGTTTGATGAAGAAATATTTAACGGTTTTCGAGTTCTGCTCCGGGAACAATTCAGACAGACGGACATGCCCATAGCTATATCACCCCGCATTATATGCCAGGGGGATAAAAAGATTTATCCATGAAAAAGTGTCATGTATTCATGTTCTTAACCTTCACAGCACACCTATTCAGATAACTATTTCAAGAGCAAAACTCCATCACACATGAAACAAAAGTTTGGCCTTTGAATGACTTGACCTTACCCCGTCTGAGGTTGTAGCAACTTGGGACCGTGGTGGATACTTCTTAACAAGTGCCTCAAACCTCGGGTCATTACTGGACCAGTCAGGGTCGTCGCTGTTGCCTGAGAGGTTGCCCAAGCTGACGTTGGATGCGCTTGCGTCAAGGCTGCTGGTGCCAGCGCTCATGCTGTAACTAGCCTGGTCGGAACTATCACTGGCCACCACATCAACTTCAGTGTACCTTTCCTCCTTCTTCAATACAGTGGCTGGAATTTGTTTTTTTCCCTTGTTCAAAGTAGTATGTAATATGTAACCAAATAAACAGTTGTGTACCATCAACCTGGGAAAGGGCCTCCCTACATAGACAAGCATACAATGCCGCCATGACGTAACAGTAAAGCAGTGCGCATGTAAAGGGAAGTAACTGCATGCCATATTGGATCGCAATGTTTATAAGTATAAGGATTTTTAATTTCTTTTTGGAAAAAGGAAATAAAAACGAACGTGCGACAGACTTTATGATGATGCGGGCGGTGCCTGAGAACCAAGACTATTATTTTTTTTTAGCCTTTACGTGTCCCGAGTAGATAGGGACAAAACTCTGCACAGTGAATTGCAGCGTTTTAGATGACTGTGCCACCTGTGATCTCTCTAGAGGTCAGAGAAGTCAAAGGCAGTACCTTGGACAAAAATCAATATTTACAATAAGAATGCATACTATTTGTTATCCTGTACAGCACATACTTGCTGAACATCAAATATCCAAATGATAGAGCGAGTGAGTGGGTGGGTATGGTTTAACGCCGCTTTAAGCAATATTCCAGCAATATCACGACGGGGGACACAAAACATGGGCTTCACACATTGTAACCATGTCGGGAATCGAACCCGGGTCTTCGGCGTGACGAGCAAACGCTTTAACCACTAGGCTACCCGACCTCCCCTCAAAATGATAGAACAAATGGATGAGGAATGGGCAAATACTGACATTTTAAATGTGGCTAAGTTAGTTTGAACAGCGGTTACCTTGAGACGTTAGTGTGTAAGCCCAGAGGAAGTCATGTCTCTTCATACAATCCGAGCACACCACCTCGCTGTACTCCTGGTTGTCAGGAACTACTGTGCCCAGATGCTGAAACAACACACAGTACTAGCCAATCAGGAGGGGTGTCAGAGTGATTCACATTGGCAGCATAATGACACAAATCAATACATGAAACTCTAACACAGTACATTCAACTTTGGTGTCGGCGACCATCATCGCTACCATCATGCCTGAACAAGTCCACAAGTTGCAGACACCGCTGGATGCATGTGTTTATACACAAGTGAGTTTGGTTTAACACTGCTTTGAGTGAGTTTGGTTTAACACCGCTTTGAGTGAGTTTGGTTTAACACCGCACTGAGCATTATTTCAGTTATATCACTGCATGTCAGCTTAATGTGGGAGGAAAACCTGATGTGATGCAGGTGCCAAGACATTTACCAGTTTGAAAGAGTCTGTGCTGACAAAAATTAAGTTCAGAGTGTATTCGCATGCATACCTAACAATATGGTTCAATAGGACACAAATAGCAATAAAACAGGCAAAAACTCAAATCCATGTTGCCCTTTAGAGTCAAATTAGTCATTCAAAGAGAACCATCCACTGGTATCACAAACAATATGCCAACCACATATTCCTAGGTTTGGTTCATAATGGCATATAAACAAATATATTAAATCTAGTCATGCAGATCCATTTATTCTTATGTTGTGGTTTATTGTATTTATCGCATTTATCGTTTCAATAAACTGTGTGTGTTGTTTTCTAAATGATGACAACTTCTGTTTGTCATTTAAGTTCAAATCATTACTACAAACAGGAGCCATACTGAACCAAACATTCATAACATAGATTACCAGTGTAAATAATCTTTCCCAAACATTCACACAGAGTTATGTACAAAACATAAAAAGGTTACCAGTTTGTTGCCAAGGATTTGACCAGATACGTTTGAAGGTTATTTTGTTCAGGCATCAAAGTTGAAAATTTTAGACAATCTCACTTAAATCAGATCTTAGTTCTCGCTACTGCTAAACAAAGATCTGAGGACATCCCATTATGGGTCGTGTCAGAACGACCTTTCTTCCGACCAATCAGAGTGTTGCTTACCAGATCATGAAAGTGACAGTCGGAATGTGATTTCTAATCATGCAACCTCGTAAACTTTGACACAGGGTATTCCGAAAGATAGTAACCATGCTTAACGACTGAATCCATACAACCTAGACCATCTATTAGCCATTCCAGAATGTTCTTTTGCTCAGGTTTCAAATTTTTAATCCAGAATTTTTCAAAATATGATTCGAAGCGTAGTCGCCAATTTAAAATGAGTGCCGTACAGCACGAGAAAGCTGCCTTCTGATTGGCTAATGTCGACTTCTTGTCAGTTTGTTTCTTTGTTGTTTAACGCCGTGCTCAGCAATATTCCAGCTATATGAGGGCAGTCTGTAAATAATCAAGTCTGGACCAAACAATCCAGTGATTGACATCATGAGCATCCATCCATGCAATTGGGATACGATGACATGCATCAACCAAGTCAGCGAGTCTGACAACCCGATCCCGTTAGCCGCCTCATACGACAAGCATAGTCACCTTTTATGGTAAGCCTTGGTTGCTGAAGACCTATTTTAGATGGCCAATACCTCAAAATGATGTCATTGTGGTTTGGTTCAATATGGCTTCATGGTATTCATTTACCAGTAAAATTATGCCTGGGCCGGTAATTCATGTGACTGGCAAGTAAAATACATTAAAAATCTTTTCTGTTGAAGAAATTATTGATGGTAATAAGTAAAGATTATTTTTCGAACAAAGTCAGCTTGTTTTCCCCAATGTCTATTATTAGTGCAAGGAAATAACATTTCACTTTGCTATGAGATTAAATATCTATTTGTAGTGACGTAATCTCGAACCAAAGTTGAATATTCCGGAGAAAAGAACAGGAAATATTAACTGAACTTTGTGTGAATGAGATGTAGTTTCAAAAGTCAGCAGGAACACTGCTACATGTTTTTCAGTTATGGAAACATTAACACTTAAAAAATATTGATTGGTTAGCCAATCAAATGCCACGGAATCACTTGCAATTTGACCTTGCGCACTATCAGACACACACTCTGTTATCTCAAAGCGTGTACAGGGTGGATTGTGACATGACATACTGGTGATCCAACGTCCAACATAAATAGCATACTGATATCTGTACAGGCTAGTCATTGGACTTGTATGGGTTTTTACAAACATGTCTGGCCAATCAGATGGCTAGGTTTTAATAATGATAATGATCATCAGTGATTATTTACCCCTACTCTCTGACTTACCCGTCCGTGGTGCCAGTCCTCACATACCACACACTGGATCATCTCATCGTCAACCTGGGGACAGAAAACGTCGAGTGACTCAGCTTCGTTCAATGACGCTTTGAACAGAATCAGTTTGATGGGAATGAAAACCGGAAGTGATGCACATTTAATTTCTGTCATTGCCGAATGGTCTCTAACCTGAAAAATTTAGATAGATACAGAGCTCCAGATAAGCTTTTGGTGTTGTGGGTATTTTACCCATGCATTTTAAAATCATTGGGTATCTGGGTATTCAAATTTCTTTTACCCACTAGTTTTTACACGTGGGTATTTAAGTTAAATATTTAAAAACACTATTCATCTAGTCCCTGCAAACTAGTGTCGTGTGGGTTCGAGAGCTTTAAAAGACTCAAAAATACCACGATACTTCCACAAGAAAGTGTGATGGCAAATGATCATGATGTAACTGTCATCGTGGAGTTTGGCAAGGTTGACAGAATGCCCGTTTATAATTTCAAAATAAGTTGCTGATTTGCTAATCAAATATGCAGGGTTACTTCACAATATTTTGATGATACGCACAAGTTTTATTTTTGTAGCGTATCTGTAATGTTCGTTGCGTATTTGATACGCTTGGATTTTATTTTACTGCGTATTTCTGCATTTCTAATTTTACGCAGATACGCAGCTTATCTGGAGCTCTGAGATATAGTCCAGGTGATGGATCCATGGTTCAAAGGTTAATACTTGTTAGTTATATGAAATTTTATTGTCGAATTACTATCAGTTCAGTGAATTTATCAGGATCATGGAGCATGCTTACCTCATCGTCAGGGTCAGGATAGGGTCGACTACAAATGCAGTACAAGCCGCTGAAGTTATGGTTGTACTTATTGGATGGGTTAACAGCATCTTTATCCTAAACAACAAAAACAAATAATACACTTACTGGGGTAAGCAATGTTGCAGTGTGATGTCATTCATAGATACCATAACAATATCTTTTGCGACCAAGTAGTCTCAAAATGAACATAAACAGGCAGTTCTGAATGGAGAATAATACGAGGCTGTTATGTTGGGAATATTTTACATTCTGGTGTTTCAGATGAGTCTTTCAGTCAAAGATTTAAAAATATATTTTAACATGTTCTTTAATTAACTCTCCTTAGTGCTGAAATAAAAAAATTTAAAACAACAAGCCCACAGGGCTAGTAGGATTGTTTTTCTGCTAGCCCTGCAAAGATTACTCATAAGATAAGAAGACTTTCAAATTTTAGTCTCCAATGACTCAAAAAATTGTGCCAAATGTCTACTCTAGTGCGGTGATCTGACAAGCGGAATTGAGAGGATGATATATAATTTAATTGCATGTGTAAAACAACTAACTGGCCCTACGGACTGGTAGAATTATGTCCACTAGCCTCGGACCTACAGGCAAGTGTCAATTTCCATCCTTGTAAATTTACCATGTGTTTACCTTTGACAATATTTACTAGGGGTTCAGGTCTGATTTAAAAGAAAAACAACCAAGGGCTTTTCAGAATTTACGGCTGACCTATACAATTCTCAAACCACACAATCAATTACATACCCTAACCGAAGGCCTCACTGTGACAGTATGCTCATTTGATATTATGATGCGTTAAAGGGGAAGTGTACACGCAAAAGTTAATTTCTTTCTTTTTCTAAACAAAACGCAATTTTAGAATTAGTTAGTATCTGTGTTTGAAAATATACACTCATTTTTTCACAGTGAAAGTAGGAAGCTCACAATAGTGTGAAAATGATATGCCGTTATGAGGCCTTCGTTTTTCGAGCGAAACAGGCCTGAGTTATCCCCCTTAGATTATGACGTAATTGGTGCCAATTCAACTGGGTCCCTGTCTATTCTCAACGCAAAAGATATCAAGTACCAGTTTGCGGTAAAACAACATGGCCTACGACACACTCCGGCGCAGTGGTGACTCAGCATAACACTATGCTGGCTGGCATCTGAGACGCTAGAATCACACACCTGTACCTACACCACGTGAAGCGGCTCTAACAAAGCATGATGATGTCATAATGTTTATCAATTGGCACCAATGACGTCATATTGCAAGGGGCATAAGCCATGGTGTTTTTGTTATGGAAATAGAACACTTGGTAAATGTGAAAAATATAAATCGTTTTAACGCAAAACATATGTTGATTAATTGTGATATTTTTATATTTTTGTCTATGACACTTCTAGGTTAACACTTTTATTGTGGAAAAAGTACAAGAAAATCAGGTTCATTTCCGTGTGAACTTGCCCTTTAAAGAAGGATCAGAATCCACAGTACAGGAATCCATGTCCAAATTAGACATTGTCTACTAATCTTTAACCTCAGCAAACAGACTGACTCAAACTTGCTATGACTGGCAATTGTCCTGATCCTAGATACCTTCTATTGTCTCTGGTTCCATGTCAGACACTTGAGGCTAGTTTGCAAATGAAACCCTGATCAGAAAAGTACAGAAGTAAGAATACGGCTAGTTAACACTACTGAAATAATGCCTTTGAACATGTAAAAAGGTCACGTTACGAAAGACTGATGCTTAGCAAGTTATATTCTTATTAGCTCTATTGGTCCACAGACCTATTCAACTGACAAATGCATGCCATAAATACTACAAGAAAAACAATAAACACTCACAGGATACAGTTTGCACTTTAAGTTGGGAAATCTTGAATTTCCACAATCACAGCGGAAAAATCTGGAAAAAAGAATCAGTGAGTGAGTGAGTATGGTTTAACGCCGCTTTTAGCAATATTCCCGCAATATCACGGCGGGGTACACCAGAAATGGGCTTCACACATTGTACCCATGTCAGGAATCAAACCCAGGTCTTGGGCATGACGAGTGAACGCTATAACCACTGGGCTACCCGACCGCCCCGAAAAAAAGAATCAAACAGATGATTGTATCACTGCATGAACGACTCCTTTATTCACATGGTGGAATGTATGTTGTCCTAATACCACAGTCTGAATATTTCAGCTATATTGCATCATCCTGTAAATAACTGAGTCTCTGATTATGAACACTCAAATACAATGACACGCAATCGTAAAAGTCACCGAGCCTGACATCCAATCCATCCGCCGCTTCTCTATGACAAGCACAGATGTCTTGGGACAAATTCTAACTTGGAATGCCTATGGAGTCATTTACATCAAGAGTCAAGATAAAAAATATGTAGATAAATAGTAGCACTAATTAATTCAGACTTCATTTGCATATCTAATCAAATCAAGCAAGCAATACTGGAATAATTTCTAAAATAAAATAATACCTAAACAAAGAGTTTCTGTAAGAGCTGGTGAGTGAGGGACTTTGGTTTAACACCCCTTTCTAAGTTTTCCAGTTATATCACGGTATGTCAGCTTACTGTGGGAGGAAAGTCCGAAGTGATGCAAGTCGCAGACGTTTACCACTTTAGTGAAACCCATGAGCATGAGTATAGTGCTGACAAACTTACAAACACAACTGGGAACCGAATCCACAACCACAGGAATAATAGACATTATTGTTAATAATTCTAAGAATACTACCTCTATTACATCATTGCCATAAATCCTGTATTTTGGCTACAATCACACAAAACTAATCTTAAGAATTTTCTTCACTGTCAACTACACATAACTTGAAGTAAGACGAGTTCTATGGATGAACAACTTCTTTATTACAATTAGTGTGACGTTTCGGTGTAGATCCTAACACCTTTATCAAGCAAGTGATGATTTTATTTTTTGCATTTGGAACTTGTGATCATACTTGTTTTCAGGATACAGACATGAGATATGCAACTACTTAGCTGAATAGAAAGTTTCCCTGACCTGAAATCCTATAGAGTTGTCCTCATACATTCACGAAGAGAGGATTAAAAGATCAGATTTTGAGCACCAGCAGAATGAGATTATCCAGCATATAATCATGTTATTTCTGCTTCAAGCAAAAAACAAATATTATGACCCACAGGTAACATATCTGCAAGTGAAACATTTACCGGTATTATACAAACGTCATCGACTGAACGTCAGCCGTTCTTAACTCTTTAGGTTAGCAAACAGAACTAACCAGGGATTTTCATTGTGAGTGAGTGAGTTGGATTTAATGCCGCTTTGAACAGTATTCCAGTTATATCGCAGCGTGTCAGCTTAATGTGGGGAGAAAGCTCAAATGATGCAGGTCTCAGATGTTGACCACTTCGGTGAAACCAACGAGCATGGGTATGATGCTGATGTGCCCAAGGGACGCAACTCTGTGGCGCCTTAGACAACTGGGACCCCCCATACCCCCAGGGATTTTCATAACAAATAGACACTAGCCAGCAAAGAACAGAATCAAGTAGCAAAATTTGAATAACCCTATCCAAAAGTGCAAAGCATATTGCAGTTGCGAGATATTGCATGATATGCATCAATTGACATTATTCACAGTGCACTTACCACGTTTAGAACATATTTATAGAACATATTTCCAAAGGTATGAAAAGAAGTAACTAGTCAACATAATTTGTTTACTGTTGATTGCTACCAAGACAAATAATCTACTGGTAAAAATGGTAAACTAGTTCAGCAGCCTTACATTTAACCAAAAGTTTTGTAAGGTAGTTTTTAGCACGGGCATGATCTCTATTTATTTCACTAGCTGTCTTGTCAAGTCAAAATATACAAGCCGTGCCAGGATTACATTTCCCTGGCATTTGTCTTAGTTTGTCAAAATATTTGTCAAGGCTTGCTTACCTCTTGGTATAAAGCTCAATGAGGTCATGCCCTTCGTGACATTCGTAACTACATGCAAGACACACTCCAGCAGGCTCCGCCCCTTCTGCTTTACATGTGCTGCAGGAATACAATGCCTGACGATTAATGTAGCCCTGAAATGAAAAGACATTTTTTTAGCACATGCATTTACTTAAATATTATTTAAATACTAAATTACCAAGAGAGGGGTTTGTATAAGAAGACACATGAAGTGAGCAGCATTCATAACGATCTATTATAGCTGTTCATTAGAATATATTGCTATTCTTACATTGTGTACAAGATCATGCTGATATTTATATTTGGTAACAAATTTTGGGGGACTAGATTTACCCCTTGGTTAAATTAATATGGCCCCTGGGAAACCCAATATATAACATTCATAGAACTGAAAGTCATTTCATAATTTATACAATAAGTTGTAATCATTCCCAACTACAGTACATCATGTATAAAGTGGGAAATAGTTGGTTATTAAGTTAAACAGTTCTGACACCATAAGTAAATCTAAATAATCAGCTGCCAATCATCAAATAGTGGTTTATCTAACACAACTAGATTATAAAATGCTGTCCTTCAAAATTTGCACTATGCTTTTACTAAAAAAATAATGTTTGTTTTCAACCCTGCACATAAATTAAAAGAAAGCTGAAAATGGTATAGTAATGAATGTGTCATGACATTTTAGACAGTCAGCAAGCTGTATGGGCATAATACTTTGATGTTATGAATATTTTATGAATTCCGTTTGGCTCGTCTTTTTTTCACTTTTCCAATGTTTACAGAATACATATTTGAAAGAAGCGAACCGTGGAGATCAAGACTTTATTTTCAGTAGCTTTTCTTGATGGGGCTGCTGTGTTCTCATTTTGCTCAACACTACGTTTAAAATAATCCTGTTAAGCTTGCTAACATACCATTACCAACAATGAAATGACAAACTTATTTTTCAAGTATACTGGCAAAATCAAAAAACTAAATGTCACCCTCGGATAAGTGCAATTTTTATCATCGCTATCTCCTAGAACGGCGTTGGCATCCGCCTCAAGTCGTTCTTCTTCCTCTAGAATTTCAACCATGGATACACCAGTGTCTTCGGCATCTGCCTTTCCACTTGATTCTGGTGTTTCTGACATTTTGTCTGCTAAAAGCAAAATTTGTGTTTACTTGCAACAGGAAACACAGGGGAGCATTCAAGTAATCGCACGACCTTTAATTGCAATAAAAGAACTTGAATATTCCATAGGCATAGATCTACAAAGAAAATTGTGATCAGAACAGTTATAAATATAAACTGTATGAAATGTATCGGTTAAAGAACATAAAGTACCGTGATAATGAAGTTTCGGCCCTCTCCCAATTCTATGCAATTAATGATCATTGCGATGAACGCGGGAAAGGGGAAGTCACTCTTGAAATTGTGACACGCTTTTCAATCTGACGACACCAAAAAGTGAACGAAGCTTCTTATTTTAAAATGCAGGTGTGTCATAAGGAACATTAGTGTAGTTTTGTAGGGGATAATTATGGTAATTATGAAGCGTGCATTATAGCTTTTCTATACGTTTTCGTCTGTTACGGTTGCTCTAATCTACAGCGGCATGTCATTGTCAACGGTGAATAATTCATAAACGGTGGCCATGTTGTAAGATAAACAAATGATCAAATTATACAATAACTGATAATGTATACAGTGTCTTGGTCTCCTGACTGGTGCACTGACTGACTCAACTAGTTATGTAACCCTATCTTAAAATTAGGGTACAGTTGCTCTTCACCCTAATATAGATGCATATATGCACTGATGTCACTTGAGGTTTCGTGTTGAGCTGTTGAGGTCAGGATGACCAGGAATAGCAGGATTGCCAATTTTTCAATGAAAGTGAAAAAAAAGATTTTGAAAATGTTTAAAATCTTCTCTTAAAAAAACAAGACCAGAGACATGAAGCATATTGAAGAAATGCAGGAACATAGTAATGATATTTTTGTGACTTGTTTTCTTCAAAGCTGTCTAGATCTAGGGGGCCTAATAAAAATTGATAAAAACACAATAATCAAATTTCCTTTGAGTTTGGCATCCCAGCTAATCAATGAATAACTTTCAGCCTGACAAGTTAGATGTTGACTTAAAGCCTTTAACAATGTGTCTAAATTGTATTATATTCTGTGATAATAACACTGTGTTTACTAAGACGTCTAAGGTGCCTTTTTAGGCCGTAGCAAGTCCACTGACCTGCTACCCTATCCGACTGCGACCCAAACAAGACATACAGCAGTCCATGCTGGACTTTGTGAAGAGGAATGGACTTCAGGCTGCCTTTGTGATGACTTGTTGTGGTAGTGTTACCAAGGCCAAGCTGAGGATGGCAGATTCTACCACGGTAATACTCATTAAGGGACTTGATAGTACATGGGTGCAAAATGTGAAGCCCATTCTTAGTGTCTCCTGCTTTGATATGGCTGGATTACTGCTAAAATTTGTATACATCAAAATCTCGCTACATATTGGTGTTCATAACTAGGAATATGTTTTTAAAATCTTAAACTTATTTTCATAGATCAAGGAGCTGACTGGTCATTTTGAGATTGTCTCCCTTGTTGGCACACTCTCTGGTGGGGAAAGCGGACATCTTCATATATCATTGAGTGACCCTGAAGGTCATGTGATCGGAGGTCATGTTGTTGGTGACCTCATTGTTTACACAACTGCTGAGGTAGTAATTGGTGATTGCACAGGGGCAAAGTTCCAACGAGAAGATGATCTTGAGACCGGCTATGATGAACTTGTAATTTATAGAAAATAAACAGGTTACTACATCACACTCACAGTAATAGCTGATGGAGAATACACAGATATTTTAATTTGGTCACATAAGTCATCACAAAGATACACGACAATGGCATTAACCAAGCTTTTAGTTAATCCAGAGAAAATTCACCATGGCACAAAATTGCAGTAAACAGTGTTGTGGCTGTATATTGTACTATATGAAAGTGTTTCTGATTTACAGAGTGTATTTTGTGATATATGTGATACTTGCTTGCAAGACATTTGTCCTGGTTAAGGTGAAATACACGAAGAGAGATTTTATCTATTATACTATGTGGGAATATGGCTCGGGACAATTGGCAATCCAACTGTGTTTGATTCATGTCATCCCAAATCCACTACCTGTTAATTCATGTTTCATTGTACCAATCCAATAGTGAATGGTTACCTGAAATACACAAATGACACCAACTGCATGGCCAAGACTGTTTTGAACCTTTGAGCATAGCTCTCTTTAAGCTGCCAAGAGAACATATGTACAAGAGTACTTTCAGGGTACAGTACTACTTCACTGTAATGTAATAAAATTATGGAATTTACATAGACGGTTTGCTGATAATAATGAACAGAGAAACCATTCTTCACATATTAAGCCAAAACTTGTGCAATATTTTTGTAATAGATGGTTTGCTGGTGTGAAATATTAGATGGTGAAAGTGGTCTTCACATATTAAGCTGAAACTTAATGTTTTTAAGCCCAGGGCCCCGTTCCAAAGCGATCTTAGCTCTAAGATGATCGTAAGTCCCATACTTTAACATAGATTTACTTTCATCGTAGCGCTAAGATTGCTTTGAGGAACGGGGCCCTGGTCCCTGTTCCACAAAGTGATTGTACCGCTACAACCGTTGTAAGTCTATGTTAAAGTATTAGAGTTACAAACATCTCATCATTACGATCGCTTTGTGGAATGGGGCTCTGGGTTTGATTGCAGATTTTGTCTATTTTAATTAAGTAACATTTTATCCAGTTTTAAGCTCAGGGCTTACAAACTAGAAAGCAAAGAAACATGATACGAAGACTGAATATCCCAATTTAGAATTTTGAGTTAAGAACAGGTTCAAATTTAAAATGACCGCTGTCAAAAATGTAACTACAAACTGATAGCAGTTTACGAGTGTCTCATATGCATTTAAGCTATCAACATCAACTGTGTTAGGCGTTCAATGTGTCTTCTAATTATGGAAACCTCGAACAGCGCTTAAGGTGCAATATTGGTGCAAATTGGCCACATAGAAGTGTGATGCAACACTTGTTGAACAACATCCAGTGAGGGAGATCACTCAATTTTCCTTATTTTTTTAAGCCCATGGGATTAAAAACAATTTATTTTGCCGGGTCAATAAGGGTCGGATGAGGGGTAGGCCTTAAAAATGAGCAATCCCTGTACATGTGCAATATTTATGTAATAGATTATTTGCTGAAATAATGGACATAAAAACTGGTCTTCACATGGTAATCCAATACTTGTGCAATATTTTTGTGGCTGGTATTTGCTGGTCAAGTACATGTATCAACTACATTTATGAAGTTAAAGCCTCAGGAACACTTGGACTTTACACATTTTGTTGCTGCTGAACTGTTTACATCCATATTGAAGTACCACAGCAGAGATGTGTGCTGTACTATTATTAACAAAACAGGTGCATCCATAGCTATGTACCATTTAAAGATGGCAAACTCTGGTCCAGATACAGGATATTCTGTGTAGTATAAATCATGCCTCCCTGTTGCAATTCCAAGATAGAACAGGTCCCGAGCAACCTTTGTTTGTCGTAAGAGGCGTCTATATGAATAGGGGGGGGGGGGCACAGGTGGCCCAGTCGTCTAAGGCGCTGCGATTCGCTGTGCAGAATTGCGTCCCTTGTGCACGCCAGAAACCTATGATTGTGGGTTCGAATCCCGGTGCACCCCAATTATGTTTCTAGGTTTATCAGCACCATATCTGTGCTCGTGGGTTTCACCGAAGTGGTAAACGTCTGAGACCTGCATCACTTCGAGCTTTCCTCCCATATTAAGCTGACACGCCACGATATAACTGGAATACTGTTAAAAGCGGCGTAAAACCCAACTCACTCACTCACTATATGAATAGGGAGGTCAGACTCGGTAACTTGATAACAGCCTGTGATTGTGTGTGTGGTAGTTTTGCTTATTTATACCTTACACATGTTAAAGGTAGTGTGTGTATTCGGTTTGTTATTGAATTATTAAAGCCACACACTCTCTTGTATTTCAAAAGTTTGGTCCATTTTAGCCAAACCAATTTTGAATGACCATCTTAAGGTGCTTGACATGGTTCCATCTCTGTGCGGCATATGCCCGACAGAGTTACTGGCCTTGATTATATGTGTGAAGTGATGCATGTAACTGAGTTGAAGATGCTTTTCTTGTTATATGTGTTTGACATGGATCTTTTGATATCAAATGTATCTTGCCTGCATAGCAGCCTTACAATACTTGACAATACACCTTTGATAGTTCAGAATCACGGAAGGAGGCCCTTTTCTCACACTGTTGTCAGAGAGGTACCTTAGTGCCAGGAATTGATGATTGTTATAGTCAGAAGTAGGCTCACTGTAATGACTTGTTAGACATGACAAATGAAGGCTATTTATTTAGTTATTCTTAAGACAATTCATTTCATCATTATTCTAAAGTAATGGTTCACCCTAGGAATGACAGAAACCTTTCTTTGGCACCTATAATAAATCCATTAAATAAATGTCTACCACCTGGCCATTTTTGTTTTTTATTAGAATCCTGAGCAGAATTTCTCCCTTTTTAGCTCACCTGAACATTCATTGTGATCATGGTGTCTTGTCCTGCTTCCAGTCATAAACTTTTACATTTCATCTGAAACAATAAACTGGATATGCATTGAATCTGTGGTATTGGGAATAACATTAAAACGGTTTGGGGCATATTTTAATTTTGGGCCCTGCTATGTCCTCTGACCTCTCTATTATTCTGCGGTATTTGCAACCTCTGGGTTTATTTAGTTTCTAAAGACATATATATATATATATCGGCCCAGCTATATTCTTACCGATTTTCCGCATTTCTTCTGAAACGCCTAGGTTTTCATGAAGATGGAGGTGTTTTTTTTTATATGATCTTAGCAATGGGGTCACTCAAATTACCCTACAGAATTCTGATTAGTTTTGAAATATTCATTGTACACGTCTGTTAGTTATTTTTACATAGTCCTAATTACCCATTTGTTACCGTTCTGCTGTAGCCAATATTCCAGGAAAGGAAAAAAACATTGCCATTTTCAATACAACAATCTTAGAGAAATTGTTCATATATATGTGCTTCATACTACTGTAACATGTTGCTGTGTATGAATACAGCTCAAGCATGTGCCAAACCATGAAACACCTTAAAAATGCTATAGACCTGCACCCTCTTGTACAAAGTGACAGTTTTGGGGGGAAATAGTTTTTTCATTTTGAAATTCAATACATAAGAATAACACTTATGTAGCCAGAGCCAAAGAATTCTTTTTTGACCCACAACATATTTATTTTCAGAGCATCCAGCATGTCCACTGCTTCTGTAAAACCTGAGGACAATTATTTTTCCCATTTTTCATTTAAGAAATCCTAGCCCCTATAAATGATTATGAAATGCTCGGCCCCTAAGCTTACCATAGTCAGAGCCCCAAGCTCCCATTGTGCAAATGGACCTTGTACTGTTTCCTATATAAGATCTGTTCTGTATGATTTTGGAAACAAAATGTGCATATATTTTGCTTAATTTACTATGTGTAATGGATGATTTTAGAATGATTGCTTGGGTATGTGTGTAATACAATCAATTGGGTTATGTGGAGGTACGATATAAACATATATTAAAGGGTTTTTCGATTGTTGCTGTTATTCTTTGGTGCTTAATATTTTTTGCATGGTAATGTAAGAATATGTTTAAATAAAGGATATATGTGATTGATAAGTACTTCTTGATCTCTAATTTTGTGATGCATTTGGTAGACAGTTTGAGGTTCGTTCTTGAGAACCGCAGCCATTATTAATGTCATAAGTTGATCTCTTGGAAACTTTGGATAGATCTCTGCCCTGGGAGTGGAAGGTGAGAAGTTCCATCCCCAGCTGCATCATACCAAAACAAACGTTTAAAGATTGGACTTGTTGTTTCCCAGCCAGTCGCTTGGCATTGATGGGATAAAACAATGACTGGTTGGCTGGAAGTATACTGAGTGCGTGAGTGGGGTATCCATGCTAAATGTGTGGCTTGGTATCTCAGTGGGCTAACATTATAATACTAGCATAAGTCTGGGCTAGTAGAAGCACGCCCGCACACGCACACACACACTTTTTAAAAATGAAATGGTAATCTAATGATCATGGTTATTAAAAAAAATGAATGTGAAGTTAATAATATCAAGCTATGACTGGCAAACTCTACTACTCTTGCTACTTCTACCCCATGGTGTTTTCGATTTAAAGCAGCAAGCTATGCGACACATAACTGACGGACATCAAACATCAAAATACAGCCTCGATCAACAGACCATTTGTGTCACAGTGCCCTTTGGTGGTTGGTCCGTCAGGGTTTGAGTCTGTTTTTCCAATGACTGAAAACTGTATTTGATAACTGTGGTATTAGCTAAACCCTAAGTGGGCCCCATCCTTAAATGGGCCCCAGCCAAAGACATGAGGGGAGATAACTCTGACGAGTATGCTGCTGGCTGGAAGCACATGGCTTCAGCCACACTCCTGTACACAGCTACACTTCCAGTGAATAAACACACTTAACAAACGAAGACATCTTTGTCATATCACCACATGGTGTCAGAAGAAGGATTTTGTCATGGCAAGCTTTCAAATAACTCCTCCTGAGCAATTTGATTTCTCTAACACAGAGGGATGGACAAGATGGATCCGTCGATTCGAGCGGTATCGCATCACCTCCAAGCTTGCTACAAAAGACCAAGAAACCCAAGTAAATCAGCTCATATACCTGATGGGAGCAGAAGCTGATGACATTTTGCCGACTTTCACTCTCTCTGAAGAGGAACAGACGAGCTATACTATTGTCAAAGCTAAGTTTGATCAGTACTTTTCTGTTCGTCGAAATGTCATATTTGAGCGAGCTAAATTTAACCAGCGTGTACAGAGAGATGGTGAACCAGTTGATAGTTTCATCACAGATCTCTATTCTCTTGCAGAAAACTGTAATTATGGTGCACTTCATGATGAGATGATTCGAGACAGAATTGTCGTTGGAATCCGTGACCTCAAATTATCAGAAAAACTTCAGCACGACTCTGAATTAACATTACAGAAAGCTGTCACAAGTGCCAGACAATCTGAAATTATCCACAAGCAGCAACCTGTGATTCGAGGCAATGTGTCTTTGAATACAGCAAGTGGAAATTCAAGAGTTGAAGAACTTGTCACTCCTAAAGGCAAAGGCAAGAAACCTCGTGGCAAAACTAAGCCCAAAACTTCACCTCGTCCATTTTTTAACAATGCAAAGCCTAAACCCACATGTTCATACTGTGGTAGAGATTCACACCCAAGAGCAGAATGTCCTGCAACCAGGTCAACCTATCGGAAATGTCGTAAAGTTGGACACTGGGATGTAGTATGCAGGAGTCAACGGTGGGGTCTATCTGAGATTCGTCTCGAACAAGGGTCTAACAATGAGTGTACCAACGAGCAGGAATATGCTTTTCTTGGTTCCATTAGTGCTGATAGTGAAAGCTCTGATCCATCACGGCCTTGGCTTGTAAATCTTGAGGTTAACTCACGACTAGTTCGTGACTTTAAGATTGACACGGGTGCTGACGTCACCGTAATTCCCTATGACCTTTATGTGTCTAAGCCTTTTCCAAAACTTCAGCAAAGTGGCAAGAGACTGTATGGTCCAGCTAACTCTAGTTTGTATGTTGTTGGAAAATTCAGAGCAAAACTTAAAACTGTGTACGGTGATGTTGTGACTGAGCAGAACATATATGTCGCCAGAGGTCTTACTCGTTCTCTGCTGGGTAGACCCGCAATTCAAGCTCTCAACCTTGTCAGCCGCATTGATAGCGTTGTTGGGGACAAATGGAAAGACATGTTTCCCAAACTGTTCACTGGGCTGGGAAAGATGGAAGGTGAATATACTATCAAGCTCAAAGAGGATGCTAAGCCTTTCTCTATCTCAACACCCAGACGTGTGCCTCTACCTCTCATGAAGAAAGTGAAACAGGAGCTCCAATCAATGGAAAGCAGTGGTGTCATATCTAAAGTGGACTGTCCTACCGACTGGTGTGCTGGTATGGTGGTCGTCCCAAAATCTTCAGAGAAGGTCAGAATATGTGTTGATCTGACTAAATTGAACGAGTCTGTGAGGAGAGAATATCACCCTCTTCCTGCTGTGGATCACACACTAAGTCAGTTGAGTGGAGCTAAAGTGTTCACAAAACTAGACGCAAACTCTGGATTCCACCAGATTCCATTATCCACAGATTCCTCACTACTTACCTGTTTCATCACACCCTTTGGCCGGTATTGTTTTAACCGCCTACCTTTTGGCATCTCGTCAGCACCAGAACATTTTCAGAAAAGAATGCAACAGGTTCTGGAAGGTCTAGATGGAGTTGTGTGCCAGATGGACGATATCCTGATTCATGGTCATGATGAAAGCGAACATGATCAGCATGTAGCGGCAGCCTTGAGCAGATTGCGTGATGCAGGCATAACACTTAATCTGGAGAAGTGTCAGTTTTCAAAGAATAAAGTGAAGTTCCTTGGACACATAATTGACAGCACTGGCATTTATGCAGACCCAGACAAAATTCATGCTATTACCAGGATGAGCGAGCCACAGAAAGTCTCTGATATCAGGACATTTCTCGGTATGGTTAATCAGCTGGCAAAGTTTGTACCCAATCTTGCATCTAAAACACAACCTCTTCGCGAACTCCTTGTCAAGGACAGAGCTTGGGTCTGGGAGGAACCACAGCGTTCTGCGTTTCAGTCTATCAAGGACCAACTGACATCTGCTCCAGTACTCGGACATTATGATCCAAATGCGGAGACTTGTGTTTCAGCCGATGCTTCCTCATTTGGATTGGGGGCAGTGATCTGTCAGAAAGACTGCAGTGGAGTATATAAAGCAGTAGCCTACTGCTCTAGATCAATGACGGACACAGAAAGGCGCTACGCACAAGTGGAAAAAGAGGCGTTGGCAATTACCTGGGCTTGTGAACGTTTTCGTGACTACCTGCTAGGTAAACAGTTTCACATAAACACTGACCACAAACCACTTCTTTCTCTGTTGGGAAACAAGAGCTTGGACCAATTGCCACCTCGCATACAGCGATTCAAGATGCGCCTCATGGCCTATTCCTATACTATATCACATGTACCAGGGAAACAGCTTTGTTCAGCGGATGCACTCTCTAGAGCGCCGACGGATATTCCACTCTCAAGCCAAGAGTCTTGTCTTCTGAGGGACACAAATATCTATGTTGATTCTGTTCTTGCTACATTACCTGCAACAGATCAACGACTGGATGAGATACGTCTCAAACTACGTGAAGACCCGGTATGTGAACTCATAATGAAATACTGTACTGATGGATGGCCAAAATACACATCTCTGCCGGACTGTGCACGAAACTACTGGCCATATCAAGGGGATCTCACTGTAGTAGATGGGCTACTCATGATGGGAGTAAGACTGGTAATTCCAGCTTGCATGAGAATTGAAATTCTTGACATTTTGCATTCTTCTCACCAAGGTATTACTAAGTGCAGGGCGCGAGCAAATGAGTCAGTTTGGTGGCCAGGCATCAGCACACAGATAGAACATGTAGTTAGGGGTTGTCATACATGTGCGCGATTCCGACCAAACCCACCTGAACCTCTGAGATCTTCAGAAATTCCATCTCGCCCATGGAGTAAAGTGGGGACAGACCTATTTGAACTGGATTCCATACCATACTTACTTGTAGTGGACTACTACTCAAAGTATATTGAGATTGCAAAACTTGACAGTACTACCTCTGCAAGTGTGATAAACCATCTGAAATCTATTTTCACAAGACACGGTATTCCGGACATTGTGATTTCGGACAACGGTCCACAGTACTCGTCCTATGTTTTTCAGAAATTTTCTGAGACCTATTGCTTCACTCATATCACAAGTAGCCCAAGGTACCCACAAAGTAATGGTGAGGCAGAGAGAGCAGTTCAAACTGTGAAGCAACTTTTGAAGAAATCATCTGATCCTTACATGGCACTCCTCACCTATAGGAGTACACCGTTACAAAATGGATTCAGCCCTTCTCAGCTCTTGATGGGACGCAACTTGCGGACAACTCTCCCAGTTCATACATCTCAACTTCAGGCTAATCAACCATCTTCACAGGAAGTGAAGTCGTCGTTTACCAAAATCCAACAGCGTCAAAAATCGAACTATGACTCTCGTCACAGATCACGCATTCTTCCCCAGGTGAAGGAGGGAGATACAGTGCTTGTTAATGACAGTGGATTCATCAGAGAAGGTCAAATCCACAAGGAGGCTGAAACTCCAAGATCATTCTACATCGAGGCAGGTGATAGCATTCTGCGCAGGAATCGTAGACACCTCACTCCTGTACCAGGAAAGCAGCCAACAAACACAGACGCCAGGTCACAGCCCTTGAATGTCTCGTCTGGTGTACCATCAAGTGTGCAGCGTGACATTCCACCTGATGTGACTCTGACCAGATCCGGAAGGGTTTCAGTTAAACCTGACAGACTTGATTTGTAGAAAAATGAATAGTAGTCAGTTAAGAAACATGATTGTTTCATGTTAGTCGTTAACAGTTCAGTAGATTTAAATCTACATTGTGTTTGATTTCAGTAAAAGACACTGAGGTTCAAATGTATGTTTACTCCAAAAAAAATGGAAAGGACATTATTATTTGTGAGTGTATAGTTCAGCATCAACAGTTATTCTTTTATTACTAGTTTTAACTTGCTTTTGTGCTTAACAAAGGGAGATGTGGTATTAGCTAAACCCTAAGTGGGCCCCATCCTTAAATGGGCCCCAGCCAAAGACATGAGGGGAGATAACTCTGACGAGTATGCTGCTGGCTGGAAGCACATGGCTTCAGCCACACTCCTGTACACAGCTACACTTCCAGTGAATAAACACACTTAACAAACGAAGACATCTTTGTCATATCACCACAATAACAGTTCGAGGAAACGTGAATGGCCGTCTTACCTCTCGGAACTTGCACAGTGTAGGGCCATTTGCGCTGGAATGGAATCGATGCAATATTGTTTCCGGCAAGAAGTCCACATCCCAAACCAATTCAGCACTTGTGGGATCAAGTGGGAGTCGTGTGGGTGCAAATAAACATGACACGCTCCATTCTCACTTAAGGAATATTTCATACGTAGAAGATTTACATGTTTATTATTATTGTTGTTTAATGATGCCCTCAGCAATATTCCATCTACATTTATAAAATTATGGGGGATGCTTAACTTTTGCCCAGGTGTACATTTGTATCCTGGCTTACTGAACTTTCACAACATCTACATCCTCATATTACTTGAAGAGAGAACTTATACCTCATTTGAATGTACCCTTTTATATGCAGACATAATGAGTTTAACATGAAAAACATATAACATATTGAGATGTTGTGATCATCTCTCTCTCTCTCTCTCTCTCTCTCTCTCTCTCTCTCTCTCTCTCTATATATATATATATATATAGCCATTGAAAGTTTTATGCTGTGTGGATTTTCTTGTGTTGTGACCAGAATTGCCGAATCTGACAAAGAACTGAAGCCAGACCGTTTGAGAAAACTGACACCTGATTGGCTGAGACACCCTGGTATCCTTCGTTTTAACTGGGCGGTGAAAGATCGGTCAGAGTTCACTCGACGTTTCCTCCAATGGAGGGTTCTCATCTTTTCTTTACCATCTAGTTTCGGAAATTCGCAAAAGAAAACTAACAGAACATAAATCTTCATTTGATGGTATTTCTGTTTGCGTGTTGTTGCCATGACGATCAGAAGTGACAGCATTAATGCTCAGTGCGTGGTTTAACAGCAACAACAAATGGTTTCTTGGTTTGTGGCTTTCGTCGGGGATTATAGGATTATCAATATTCAAAGGCCTTGACATTATGTTTTATTTTTCTAATACCATCTGTTTCGTTTTTAGGACACAACACAAACTTACATTTGTCCTTCGTATTTTTATACAATATAAGTTGTAGCAGGATCACGAGCGGTACATGGGGTTTTGTGCGTCCCTCGTTATGTTTTATACCACGTATGCGTCGCACGTTATGTTTTATACCACGTATGCGTCGCACGTTATGTTTTAACGAGGGACGCATGAAACCCCATATACCCCGAGTGATACTGCTTAAACGAATTTATCTTACCAACATGTTTTAATCTGTTATTGTGGAAGAATTAATACAAATTCAAAATTATTTTAGAACAGCAGTTCAATTGAGCTGAGGTTAACTTGTGCTCTGTGTCACGTGACTTTTATTGGGGTGCAGGCTAAAACGGCACCCCAGCAAAACGTCACCGATTTCTCTGGCGAAAACGGCTACTATGTGTCGGGCGAAAACGGCACCTCTATTTTTAATAAGGATAAGAACGAGTTTTGTAGTAATATATATGGTTTATTTACATGATCACAGTTATCACAGCATGTTGTTGTTTTCTGACATTCTTCTCTCATGCAACACATCGAAAGGCCATTGTGAATAATTGTGATCTGACAGCACCATGTTAGGCCTCTTAAAGGGGCACTGATCTAACGCAATTCCCGGGACTGGTTGTTGCCTTTGTTATTGTTTTTTCCCAGTGAGTACCCGGATGTATAGCAGAAATCTAGACTAGTTCGCGACCTCTGCTGCGCTATTCGTAAGCGCATTAGTCAATGGGTAGTAATAAGGGCGTATGGTCACATTGATCAACAAAATTAAATACAGTTTTCGAGATAATAAGGAAATGTAGGTATCTTTGTGGGTAGCATCGGTAATGGTGACGAAGTTTTGATAAGTCACTTGCTTGGTAATTTTGCGAATTTTCGACACTATTACACTATTTCGACTTGCAACACAAAGTAAATATTTCACCTGAGCATTGCTTTTTTTATAGTGTGTATATTTTTTTACTGTCAAAATGTGTAACAAATTTATTAAACGTCTAAATATTCAGTTATTTTACAAAGTGACTGAAAAACATTTCCATCTGTATTATTATAATAACGAATTCCAAACATTTTGATGTTTAATGTCATCACCAAGAGAAAATGTTACGTTGAAAAGTACATTTCTATGTTGTTTGGCTTCTCATCCTACATAATAATCTGTTGTGGTGTTTTTAGGCCCGTTGGATCGTCTTAATCAATTTGAGTCAATCTGGACGGATTTTTCAGTCAAAATGCCTGAAATATTTACACATTTTATAAATTGCCTGAGAGAATCAGATTTTACAAATTGACGGTAATATATACACGCTTACAAAGGATACTTGTGAAAACAACGTCTATCGCGCATTGAAGAATTTCCCAACCAAGATGTAGAGGACCAAGAACGAATCGGTTCAAATGAAGGAAAACAAAATGCAAATACCATAATTACAACCTACCAAATTTATGTGTATACATTTTAGGCAGCTTCCTTGTTCGCATATTACATAACACACATTTCATCTCACTTCAAACCTGGATTTAGATTGAATAATTACCCCAGACACAATAAATGCCAAATGGGAACCTTTGTCAGGTAATCTAAGTGGTGCTACCACTAATTGTACCTGTAATAAATTCATTAACTGAGCATCAAGTGAATGACGACAAATACACAAGTGTAGGGTTATACGAGAAAACGTGGATGACAACAAGAGAGTAGTAATCGTATTATCGACGCAATCGGAAATCCGAAAATGCTTTCACTGCAAGGATACTTTTTTTAGTATTAAACTATAACCATCTCGGGTATTTCCAAATGACGACATCCGATGAGCTCCGTCGTTCTTTTTGTCTGTTTGTTTAGGCTGGAGAAATTAATTAACATGCGCCCTTTGTCGAAATTTTTATAGATCACAGTTAACCAATCAGTGTTTATGCAAAAATGCGTCAAACAAATATTGCCTCCAGCCTCCAAGTTTATTTAGCTGTCCTTGCAGACGGTAGCCCAGTCTCTGGTCACGCTCAGTTGCGTTGCGTATCATCCGGGTACTCACGGGGGAAAAACAATAACAAAGGCAACAACCAGTCCGGGGAAATGCGTTAGATCAGTGCCCCTTTAAATACAGTTTCAGTTTAAATTGAGTAAAGGTACTTAAAACTTGAAAGCGTAAAGTGTTTTCACATTAAGTTAACTGCGCCTCCCAATCAGTCGGCGAGTAAATTGGAGTAGGGGTCTAATTAGCACTAATAGCACTTATTTGACCAAGGTAAAAAAAAAATAAGGTGCCGTTTTCGCCAGGCAATAGTAGCCGTTTTCGCTTGAGTCGAGGTGCCGTTTTCGCCCGGTGACGTTTTGCTGAGGTGCCGTTTTCGCTATAACCCCTTTTATTGACTGGAAAAAAAGAGGCTTTTTACTTCGAAGCGGGGTATAAGGGATTTATTCTTCCTCTCAGAAATGTATTTTCCTCTAAGACGGGATACATAGTATTTTATCACGTGGACCAATCAGATCTTGTCATTCTGACATGGAGATATAGAGGATATTATATGAGTGTTTATGTCATACTATGTACACGAGTATCTCAATTCCGGTATTTCCAAACAAATACAATAAACAATAGCTACTGGGTATTTGGGTGAAAATTACATTTCCTCAGTTTATTTGGAAAGCAGAGGTTCAAAGCGTGGATTACTCTGCCCAAGTTGTCTAGAGCGATGGCGAACGTATGGACAAAATAAGTACCTTAAAGCTGTTCTTCTTGTAAACTGACATGCATGTATAATGACAATCATTTAAATATGTAAAAAAATGTCTTCTGTATAGGATGACACGTATGTTCTACTTACCACCTGATGATTATGAGCCATTACCGAAATGGGTGAAAGACTGCAAGCTCGTGAAGTCGAGGAAAATAGGTGGCGCTGACGGAGAGTCAGTGAAAATAACGAAGAAAGGGAGAGAGCAAGAGACAGGCGTACAACATGTAGAAGGGAGATGCTTAGAATTAGGAGATACGAAGACAGCATGAAGAGGAGGGAGAAGATGACAAAAGAGGACAGATAGCGGAATACTTTGTTGGAAGGTCCCAAGGAAACACGGGCGACTGTGGAGAAGCGGGAAAGAATGGACAAAAAGAAGCTGAGAATGATCATGGGATGGGCGATGAAAGGAGATGACAGCTAGGAGATAAATTCAAGCAACTTTGCGGAATGACATATGCGATACAGGAACGTCATAGGGTGGGAAGATGAACCAGAGCAGACGTCACAGAGATGCAAGGAAAGAGAAGGTGGTTTGTGAAGTAGTGAGACTGTGTGGCAGAGAGAAGGTGAATGATTGGACATAATTGTCCAAATAATGGAGAGCATGTTTGCATGAGCAATGTCACGGTATTGCATGGCAGATATTGACTTCAAATTGAAAGGGAGAAGAATACTTTCACGGTTTGTGTTTTAGAATGCAAATAATGAATCGTCATCCTCTCCTTAATCAGTTACACATAAATATCGTGCCCAAAATTGGAGCTTATTAGACATGACGATGTCGTATTGGCCACAGTCGGTTTACACAAGAATATCTGCTTAAGACCGACGAGG